TTCATAAAATAGAACCCTGAAGGTCTGTGCAGTTGCACAAAGCTTTATCCAACCCAACATATATATGCCTTATGGAATTGCCCTGGTTTGGATTATGACAAGTGTGTCTGCACCTACAGTCAACTCAAGTCTCTTCCTGCATGAGCTTGTCTGTGGTTTTAAGACATACAGCAAGATCAGCTGAATGCTTTTCCCCCCAGGGTCCATTCACTCAGATGATGTGCTAATTAGGTCACTGAGAAAATCAAAGACATAGAAACAGGATTGAGCTCACCAACTGGCTCCTACATGTAATTGCTGTATTTTAGTTTAATTTGTCTTAAGATGTTTTCTGATGTCTCTGAGAATGTAACCCATAAAAAGACAAACTGCACATCAAGAAAGCAAGTCAGTGAACACATGAATATGTTGAGCTGCAGAGTGTAGCATTCAGTATTTATCACTACAGGAAAGAGGCATGTGACTTCTCTCTCACATGGCAGCTCCTTGGTTTATGCCTTGCTGATTGGAAAATAGAAAAAGTATCCTGCAGGACCATTTTTAAAGAAAGGGCAAGACACCAGAACAATCCGCAGTGCTAATGTTTTGATGCAGAATGATCCCTGCTCTTACTCCATAAGGAAGCCCAGTGTATTGGAAGAGAATGGACTTGCTGAAGACAGAGATGAGTTATTGCAGAGTACCTCAGTCTGTTTTCTGCTTAAATAAAAGTGTTCTGTCGTAAGCGTGACCTCAGAAGCAGCAGCGTGACCTGACAAGCAAGCATATTTAATCTGCTCCTTGGCAGAGTTGAATGTATTTTGTCCATGAAAGCGTACGCTGTGTATTCATACAGGTAGGAGTGAGTGCATCTCCTTGTTGGTACAATTTGAGAGGGAGATGAAGGACTGTTGGAGCACTTCAGGGTATTGCTACTTGGCAGGAAAACACATACTCCAAGGCAAACGAATTTGCTCAATAATTTTATGAGTCTCTGAGCTCAGCTGGTTCTGGCAGGGATGACTTGACTTCATCCAGAGAGACAGTAGGGGGGAAATCATTCCAACTTTCCCTTTATTTGGGTAGTGGAACATGAGTAACTTCTTTCCAGAGCTGAAGGAAGTTGCCCTGGGCTCCTTGTCACGCACAGTGTGTCATACCGTGTCTATCTCGTCCCTCCACAGTGCCTAGTGCAGCTCCCTTTTATGGCCTAACCGTAGTGCAAAATGTAATTGCCTCTGATGCAGCAATTTCAGCACAAACACCTTGGACTCTGTGGAATAACAAATAATAATAAAGAAAACAGTCTTGCAATAAATGCTAATCACCCCCTATAGCATTGTACTGAATTTGTCATTAGATAGTAGATATTAAATGCAGAAATACTTACTTTCCCAGAACCTTAGAGAGTTTAGAGTTCTTTGTAAATATGTAATTCTCCCTCTAAACATAGTTTATTTCCCAATATAAATTCTTCATTATTCTGTAGTTAAGGCTAAAAGTCTTCATCATCTACCTGAGTCAGAAATGCCCTTAAGAAAACAGTCATTTACTGAGATGAGCAAATTCTGGAAATTGAGGCAAAGGTTCTGTTCTGCAGATGAAACCAAGCTGCCACAGAGACTGCAGGAGTGTGTGTGTTTGTGACTATCTAGACAACTGTAGCTTGACAAGCTTCACTATTCTACCTTTTTTTTTTTTTTTTCCCTGGCCTTTTGATTTTGATTGTTGCATGCTCTTCTGTTCTCTTGAAGCCAGAACTTCAACTGCCCACTTTCATCTCACTACCTCTCTCTTCTTTTGCAGTCTTGTACAACTAGACCATACTGTCTTTGTAAAGTATTTCCTGTCTCATACATGTTTATAGTGGCAACTGATCCTGTTCTGAGCTTATGAACATACCATTAATATTGAGCATGTTTGTCTATCATAAGCAAAACTGAGCTGGAGGCTAAGTGATTCCTGTTTCAGTCTTCCTCCTGACCTAGCAGTAATTCTCTTGATGATACAAACCAAATAAAGAATGGAATTTCTATGCCAATTTATATAGGCAATATATTAGTCAGATTTTCAGAAGTGAACAGCAACGTATTTCTGAATCCTGGCATCTCCAAAATATATGTAGATGTTTGCTTTGCAGTTCAACATTTTTGTTGTCAGCTGAAAGCAGGCATGTGATATTTATGTTGGCTTGATCAACATTTGGCAAGAGGGTAAGAACAAAACAGGGTATAAAATGGGATGCTTTTTAACAAAGGAAGTGTCTTTCCATACATATGATATTGCAAAAACATGAATCACTTAAATTGCTAAGGGTAAATAAGGAAAAACAGATTTAAAAACCTTTATTTTCAGAATTCCAGAAATATATATTTTAATGACTTCAAAACATAAAGTCCCTAAATGTCTGTCTGCTACTCAGTGGTGAAGTCCAAAGCTTACTTCACACACAAGTGTAGCATTATTTTCATTGGAACTTCAGGATGATGGTAGACCTGATACGTCCTCTGAATGTGGTGATGAAATATATCTGGCACTGAGAATTTCAGTATGTTGAAGAGTGATGTTTTATAGCATCACAGGCCTAATTGACTTTAACTTCATTATTGAAAATAAAGAGGTAACAGCAGTGTGGTGCAGTATTAAGTCCCTGTGCCTGGGACTTAGAGGGAAACAGAGATGCAGGTTCAAGCATCTTTGGCTCTCCCTTGTAAGGCAGGGTAAGGCCAGAGGCTCTTTGTCTGTTCCAGCTTCACCCCGAGCATGTGGATGGGAAGGAGGTGAAAGGAAGTGGGGTTAGTGGATGGGCACAAGCCAACACTGTCGGTGAAATAAGCTTTTGTCCCTAAGGAGAAATTACTTCCTTCTGGGAGGAAAAGAAGTAAAGTTATTGTGAGTCTACTGCAGATTCTCTCTAGGGTTGCCCCAGGAGTGCGGTGGCTTCATCTATCTGATTGGGAGAATAGCTCTGAAACAGGATCCTGGGCTTACTTGGTTTTTAATGCATTTGTTAATAATATTGTGTTCTACATGAAATTTGGTTTTCTGTTGATGATTTCACAACCTTCCAAGAAGAAAGTATCCAGTAACACTAGCTAAAACAGACGAAAGTTTGTGAGTGACCTGAAATAATTGTACAGCGTTTGCTTATAAGAGATTTAACAACAGCTGTATAGCACTGAAGTTCAGACAAACAATGGAAAAGTGATGACATTTTAAACTTGATCTCAGTCCAAAGAATCCCCATTTTACAAACTGATCTTCAGTCGTATTCTGTTACTAGTAATGACAACAAAGCCCAGCAGTATGTTTACAGAGGGCACATCTTAGCAGAGAATTTGACTTTAACTTTTGCATGTGGAAACAAGAAGTCATGTTTACAAGAGCATTCTGTGTTTGCTCTCCTTCTTGTGTGGGTGTATGTAGGGGAGTGGGGATGAATACTCAGTCTCTTTAAGCTCTACTCTAAACAAGCTATGATCAATGTGATTTTGTCACAAAAAGTTGTGATTTGTCCATTACACACTTGAAATGCTGGCTGTAAACCTAGCCTAACCATTAAAAATAAAGAGCCAAGCATTTAAGTATTCTGGAAGATATTTATTAAGATTCTATCACATTTGTTTAATGGACCCCTATTCTTTGAGCATGTAAATTAAGTTTTTGATTGCCACAATAGCTAAAAGCGTACCTTTTGTTCAGGTGTTTTCCTGCAAATAGAAAAGCAATTTAAAAGATTGTGTTTGTGCGGCCAGACCCAAGGCACTGGAAACAGGAGGAGAAAAAATTTGAAATTTTAGGTCTAAGGCAAGGTTTAAATGCTAACCATTAAACTTAGCTTTTCTGTTTGCCCTGCTCTCACAAAGCCTGCTGCTCTGTAGGGCAGAAGTCCCTATAGACTGGCTGTGATATTCTGATCCCCAGGTAATTTGAGCCATTATATAAATTGATATTTACATACAAATACGGGAAATAAAACAGCAAAACAGTGTGTGCAAGCAGGCAGGAAGGCTGGAAGAAGGTGAAGATAAGATACACGGTTAGCGCTGTTGGTGAAAGAAGGGAAATCATCACGGCTGTGGCTGCTGCTGCCTGGGAAATGTGAGCCAACACCACGCAGCGGCACAAGCTGCTGCAGGGAGGGGGACGCTGCACCCCTCTGTATCTCTGCTCTGCTTGGTGCTGTTGTCTGCGAGGTGCCATTGTCACAAACAGGAGGGCTCATAAAACACTGGTGTCTGCACTGCCTTCTCCTCCCCCACTCAAACAAACAAACAAAAAAAAATCCCAGGTCTGGTAGGTAGCTGTGATACTTTCATTTTTTTTTTTTTTTTTTCCCCCTGCTGCTATAAGATTTCAGGATGATCCAGCAGTGTATTTACTAGCTTTGAGAGGTGTTGTTTGAGGGTGGAATTCCACTGCTGCCTCAAAACCAGCAGTTTACGGTATCCTGACTTGACTTTTACTGAATATATTACATCACGTCTGAAACGTTTTGTTTCAGGAGCACAGCAGTTTATTCCTTTCAGAGGAATGGTTTCATCTATTGCTTGCTGTTAGCCTAATAACCCTTTGCTACATGAACTGTCCTTTCTGCCACATTATTTTTTCATAGATTCCCCTGGGGCTTGGCCATGAGCTGAGTGTGTAAGACACCACTAAACAAGAAGAAAAAACTGCTAGAGATCTTAGCTGAGCAACACCATTTAAGTAATAGAAACAACTGTGTTTGATGACCCAATTACACAGAGCAAACTTCTAAAGGACAGAATGCCAAATACTTGTTTGTAAACATAAGCCTTTATTAGCAGCACTGTTACAGTTATAAAAGAATATGATCTCTTTCTGAGCCTTGTAGACTACCTACATCCTCGTACTAATTCAAAGCGCTGCTGGATGGGCTGTGTGAGTGTTGTCGGACTAATCCCTACGGTTCCTTGATTATGAGCATGTGCAGAGCAGCTGAAGGTACAACCGTGCATGTCGAGCTAACGCACAGAGACTTGCCTTGCAATGCCATGTTTGTGTGTGTGTTCCTACAACTGAGAAGGATACAGGGAGCCTGCCTGCCTTGCTGACTTATCTGATGTTTTCTTGTTTCTGTTTCAGCATTCAGGATAATTCCTTCAACACGACAGCTTTAGCAGAGTAAGTGAACTCTTTAAAGATGTCCTTATTTTTAAATAAGAATTATGAGTTTAGTTACTGTGGAGAATAATTGTAAGTAGTATGTACAAAGTCCCTAGCTGTCTGTCATATGTTTTGATTCAGTTTTCTGTAATCTAAGTATATTATTGACTCTATGGGAAGGATTGCATGAAGCAGCTGCCTTTACATGCTCCCTGACCATTTAGCACAGAAATAGCTTTCTGGGAGAATATCTGCTTGATGCACATCACACATGTTTAAATACTTAATTTTCAGTGTAGGATAAATCTCATGTGAAAATATTGTTCATTTCTGGTCCTGGTGATCCTGACAAACACAAGTATGTCAGTTTTCTAAGAACACATGGTCTTTACTTCCTGCAAGAATTATTAAAAAAAAAAAAAAAAAAAGACAAATATTTTGAAAAAAAAAATACATTATTTAAAACAAGCCAAGTACCAAATATATAATTTCTTTGTAATGGATTCCATAAACTCATTAGAAGGCCTTTAATATATATCATGATCATAAGGATATATATGTTGATTTTTATTGATATTGTTTTATGGAGACAACAGAACAGGACAAGGGAGAACATTAGAAAGTTAGAAAGGCAAAGACTTTAGGAACTATTACAAATGAAATGGTCTTTGTTTTATTTTAGTCTAAAACACTGAAATTTTTATGTTCTCTATTATTTTGCATGCTTTTGATTGTTTCAGAAGCTTCTAGGGAAGATTCTTCAGTGGTAATGTGCCAAGCAGTTTCTCAGGAATGAAATGATTTATAGATTTGTTTGTGTATTAGATGAGTTTTACACTGCTAAAATGCTCATAATATAAAAAGCCCTAGCTGGACAGTGAGCTGTTTGACTAAGTGTTGTGGGGACAGGATACATTCTGAAAGCAGGCCAAGTTGTAATCTTCTGAGCCATCCCTGGGTGTTGTCAAAGTCACTCCAGGATAAGTAACATTTCATTGGGATCCAAATAATTTCCCTCTCTTACATTGCTTTGCTTTATTTGCTTACATTGCCTTGCTTTATTTAATATTTTAACTTAGTTGCTTTTTGTGTGGCTGTGACAGATACAGAAAGATTTAACAGAAGGTAATAAAAATCATTAAGTATTTTTTTATTATTTTCCTGTGTCCCTATTAGTTAAGTGAAGAATTGCAGTCTGTAAGATTCAGGGATGCTCCCCCTTCACAGAAGAATAACCAGATTACAGATAGTCCATTTTTCATACCTTTTTCTCCTTCTCTTTTCTCTGTCCCTAAATACAACCACTGTTTCCCCGTAGAGATTTCCCTGGAGCACCTCCTGTGCCTGCCTCACCCTTAAGGTTTCTGGGACCTGAAGGTGATGGCCTTTCTCTGTGGTGCTTCATGTGGCCACTAAGACAAGGGCCGGGATGGCACAAAAGCTGACTGCCTAGTGCCAGTGCAGCCCTGGGGAAAGGGAGCGGGTTGCAGGGTGCTGTGCTGTGCCCAGCTGAGAGGCAGCAGCATGGCATTGCCCCAGGGGTGAGTCTCCCTCATTTAAGCTGCTGTTGGTTCTGTTTCAGGGGCTTTAATTTCTATTCTTAAATTTCCAACCATAGAAGTAGAAACATGCTTTTACAAAACAAAGCAAGTGAACAATGACATCTGAAAAAGCATTGTCCAAATGAGCAACCTTGGTTTCCAGAGTTGATTTCTCTAAATCCTGCTTAGAGCCTCCCCCCAAAAGCCTGGTTTTGAGAACTGCTGAGGACACACAATTCTTACTGATTTCAGCACTAGTTGTTTGTGCTGGCCATATCTGAAAATAGGTTACTTTTATTTAGCAGAATAAAGAGAGAGCTTGCCGTGCAACTTTAGACATCCTCATTTGACAATTTCTGTCTTTATTTGTGGCAAAGGCAAAATCAGGGCTTCCGGACTGATAAAAAATACAATACTTTCAGGAACATTTCTCTGGACAAGACAAGTGCCTGGGGCTGCTCAGCTTTCAGCAATCCATGCGTGCAGCCTGGTTTAGAAGTTCTTCATGTGAACATCTTAAAGGTCAAATCAGCAAAAGGAAGCAGTTTTCAAGCAGTATTGAAATGGCTCCTATGGAAAGGTGAAAATGGAAGAAAGTTAAAAAAAGCCAATCCCATTAAACCAGAGATCCTTGGAAGAAACATAAAGAGGCAGTACTCTGACCTGACTGGCCCATACCTTAAGATCAGTAACGGATGTGCTTACTGTTAAGAGACATATCCATCAGTCAGTAGTTTGATCGGGCACTGAAGGAAGAAGATTCACATCACTAGTTTTGTCAAAAGACATACTTTGTGCCAAATGTAAGATTCAACCCATATGGATTTATGACTTATAACTGTTCTGGCGCATTCTCTGATGTTTTAGGAATGACATGCCACTGCAGCTTTTGGGTTGGTGGGAACTCTCTACTACATGGCCACAAGCTATCACAAAACTTAACCAGACACTTGATTATCCCTCCATCTGTTAAGTATAGCTACAGCTGGACAAGATTTATAAGTTACTGGTGAGAGGAGAGGAGTGTGTGCATGTCTGTGTTGATATGTGCAGACAGGTGGCATGAACACATAAGTTGCATTTCTTAAAGAAGCCAAGGTAAAAAGACTCTGCTTTAATGATGGATATATGCATTAATTCGTGAATTCATCTTCTTAAGAATCCTGCTATGGTCTTAGCCTCAAGCACTGTCTTAAGTGAGTGAGCTTTCTTGGTTAATATTTATTCTCATGAAGAGAAAAATTTCTGTTAATTATTTCAGAGTGTGTTACTTCTGAACTTCCTCACAGTCTTTTTATTACATGATGGACACAGTGTTCTTTGATTCATTATCTCTTATCTTTCCTATCTACTGCTATCCAGTTATTCAAATACATTTTGTCATGCCCACTTATGTTGTTTATAACTTCGGTCTTGTTTTATGATTTATATCAGTTGCTGGTTGCTAAGTTAGGATCTCTACTTTTCAAGATGGCCTTATTACAGCCAGCTCAGGGAAAGAAGCTCCCAGGGCACTTCCTCAGGTTAAGGAGTATGCACACATAGACTTAGCTGATGGACCTGTGCTCAGTCATCAACCGTCCCTCCAGAGAGTGTTCCCAGTTACCAAAATGGTCTTTCAGGACCGAAGGTTTCCAAGTGTGGTGACTGGTGAGATGAGAAGGTGAGTGAAGCTGGTAGCAGAGCTGCTTCCTCCTCCCTCCTCCTCCTGTGGCACGTGCAGGAGGGAGAATTTGTCCCTTTAGAAGGTCCTGGTCTTTGATGACTGTGGCTTGGCCCATGGTGCACAGAACACCTGGTGGCATCTCACCTTACTCTCATGTTCGTGATGGGAGCTCTGTCCATCCAACTCTGGCCTTGGCACTCTTTCCTCACAGTGTATTTCCTTCCTATGTTTTTCTCTCCCTGAAATTTTCCATCATGTTTTCCATCCAGGTTCCTGGTCCCTTTCGTACCAGACTTCCTTCTTCATACCCCCAGTATGTCCTATCCTCACACCTTACTGGTGTCAGACACCCAAGGTGATTAGTGATAGACCAGAGGGGAAGGTGTGACTGGCATCCAGAGGTGAAGGCAACTAGATTCCTACAGTGAATTTATCCATTTTGTACATCAACCCCTGTCTTCCATCTGTGATCCTGCTTTGCCTTGTGGGGAGAACTGCATCTGCTGCAGGAATATTGTGTGATTAGGGGAGATCTGCAACTGTAGTTATATGTTCCAGTTGGGAGCAGCAAATGCTTTCATTCATATGCTGATGTATTCAGGAAGTGTAAACACTTGAGTGTCCCTTTAAATATTTTCTGCTGCAGTCTGGCTTTTGATAAAGATACTAGCAGAAGACTGGTGGGAAAGAGGAATATTTTAAAAACCTTGCCATCAAATTGCAGTGCAGAGATATGAATTTATCACTTATTGTGCTCTGTCCTAAGCGGGGCAACTCTTCTGAAAATGTAACAAGTCAGCGGAAGTACAGGCTGCTTCCCTCATAATGAAGAGATTCCTCTGCCAGCAAACTTCAAGTGATCCAGGCCTCCTTAGTGTCTGTGCCCTGTGAGTATGAACAGAGGGTGAGGAGAGGGCCCCGACTTTCCCCCAGAAAAAATACCTAGAAAGGGTGGATATATATTTGTTCAAAATATATGCATATATTTGCATGTTTATTTGAAGAAAGACTGCTCATAGGCTTTGCAGTTATATCATTCTGCAGAGTTCAGCCATGCTGCACATTACAGTGCTCAACACTGAGTGGTTAGCATATTTATCTTTTATCTCTTTTATCTCTTTTGATTAGGCAGCCTTATAGTAATTCTGTTGTTTATAACTTGGGGGAATGTGATTGATTATGATTCTTTAGGCATCTTAAAAAATTCTGCTAGTTCATTTTTTAAGACTAATGATCACTTTATAATGTCTTTGGGGATTCTTCTTCCTGCTGCACAAAGAATCACTGCTCTATTATAGTTGTGAGTATAGTTTAGCTCTAGTATAGTTTGTGAGTCCAGGAGAAAAACAACCTTAGCTAATTGTTTCTTCTTCTTTTTTTTTTTTTTTTTTTTTTAATGTGAAGTATACTATAAGCAATTGAAATATAGAATTTCTCATAATTTTCCTGTAATTTTTATAGTACCATCTGAATTCTTTGTCATCATTATTTCCATCTGGCTGAAAATGATATACCAAATTTGTACACTGTACATCTCAAATTCTCTTCATCCTCTGAGATTTAGACTATCATGGAGCAGCTATGGCATTAAATGACCCCAGCTAAGGTGTGAGAAGGAGAAATATGTTTATACTTTGAGCTGCACTGCCATGTTATTAAAAGCTAAATTTCTGCAGCTGGCAGAAAATCAGCAATTATTTTGTATCCATTTTCAAGGTGTGATGGAGATTCAGACTCTGTACATGAAGATCAAGGAGGCAGTTCCAGCCTCAGGTATTCTACTGTATATTTTGTCTGAAATCCATTGGCAACAAATGAAGCTGCCAGAGTGCTTCTGTTAAACCATTAGAAAGAAACCTTTACTCTCAAGGAAATGCAGAATTTCTGGGGTACCACCTGCTAAGGCTATTAGTATTTCTGGGAAATACATATTTGTCTTGTATACTTTTGTGTAAGCAATATTAATGTTAAGTATTGTTTCTACTATATGAGTAAATATATTATGGTCTGTGTTCTTGACTTCACATCATATTACTTTCATTCTGATGCTAATACAATTAATTTTACTGTACAGCAGCTGGTACAAAGTAGTAGCAATCAGTTTTGCAACTGTGTGAGGATATGCTCATCGATGAATGTCTCTGACAAAAAATCCTTCAAATTGTAATTTAACTGAAGTATTCTTGAGGCATGCATCTCTCATGGCTATGCTAGTATATGTTGATTGCTAGAGGATGCAACTTAACCTTTCAGAAAGATTTTAAAATCAGATGATACCTTAAAATTAGCAACACTTCTACACACTGTTGAAATGCCCCTAAGATATAAAGCACCCTACCCTGTAACTATAACAACTGCCTTGGCGCACACTTGCAGAAGGCATGGCAGCACTGGAGTTTAACTCCATAGGCACCCTGCGAGCATCCATCTGGATGCTGATGGGCCACAGATGGAAAGTGAGTTTGTCAGCTCAGGATCCTTAGGAGAAAATGTTGAATTAGCCAGTTATGCTTTCTAAAAAAAAAAAAATCTCCGGGGTGGTTAATTCAATAGTCCTTGACTCCCTCAGCTGTGGAAGTTTCACACCAGGAGAGAGGTCATCTCTCAGCTAACCATTAGGATTTTACCATCTGAAGCTAACATCTGAAATCCCACCTTCAGACTAAGCAACAGCCAGGGAATTCAGAGCAGTAATGCCGATCTGCTTATCCCGACAACTAAACAGGCAGCCTTGCATTCTTAATCGCGGTAGCTTTCTTAATGGAGCCCAGGAGACGCTCCCAGTGGAAGGCATTAGACCTGTCTAAGGTTGGGTTGACCGAATGTGGGTAAGACTAGCAAGGTCTTTGTAGGACAGCTTGCACTCTGTAGGCTAGATTGAAAACATTTGTCCCAGATTCAGTAGTTACCTGAGCACCCATGAGCAACGGTGTCTGTTTAAACCACCAGATATGCTGTTCTACAGGACCTTTTATCTAAATTGGGAGCACAGGATACTTGTCCCTTCTACCCAAATGCATCTCTGACTGTTCAAACCTGACTTTCTATCCCTACCTCCCTCACTTTGTCCAAAAGCTCTCAAAAACAGAGACTGTCAAAAAGGAAGTGTGATCATAGGGAGGCATTATTCTATGTGACAACATCTTTGTGACATTATAACCTAGTGTGAATCATTGAATATGGAAAGTTCTTCTGCATGAAAAAGGCAGTTTCAGATTTTATTTGGGGAATATGAACTATAGAGCTGAAGCCAAAGAGTGCCTCTAAAACTAGTCTTATTTAAATGGCTCCACAATTGAATCTGTAATAGTACTAACAACAGTTTAGTTTGAGATTTGACAATAAACAGTAGCCTCTCAGATTCATGTTACTAACATATGCAGTGTTTGATGTGTAGACTACTCAACTTGGTAAAATTAAAATGCCATGAATAGCTAAGAACTTGTTGCTGTTCTTCCTTCATAATGTTTTGACAGGTGTCTGAAGACCTGATTGATGCATTTCAATTTTATTTTCTTACAGAGATGATGATAACAAAGAAAATTATCCGGACAACGCTGCTGTCTTAGAGGAAAGGCAGCTGCCTTTGCAAGACACTCAGCAGCACAAGCAGCAAGCTGTAACTGACTACTCGCTAAATCCTGAAATGGGCAACTTAAAGCTAAGAAAGCCTAGGCCCATTGCAAAGCTAGAAAATGGAAAAAGCCATGGGGAAAGTCAGGTAAAGAACTAAACTTACTGAGAGTAGGATTATGACACAATGTCTGAGCAAACATACCTTTAGAAATGCAGTGTGGGACTCCCTGGTAATCCAGGATGTGACTGAGAGCCCACAAAAATCTACTTCAATTTTTAGGGATGTGGAGTCCTAGAACCCTCCTGTAACAACAGACAATTTCTTTCAGCCAGTGAATTGCAGAGAGGTGTGTTGCAACTGACTATCAGAAGTAAGTGGAATGCATAACTGAAGATGTTCAAATATCTCTTTTCAGATTTCCTGTGACTCTTTGCACCAAATATAAAATCTTGGTAGTTGCAGTACTTGACTGGACTTTTTCTGTTTTTCTGTTTTTTTGTTTGTTTGTTTGTTTGTTTGGTTTTTTTGTTTGTTTGTTTGGGTTTTTTTTGTTTATTTTGTTTTGCTTTTTTTTTGTTTTGTTTTGTTTTTTTTTTTTTTTTCATTTGACTGAGGATCTCTTGTGCTGGTATTTTGGCTGCCAATGGAGAGGTTTCATACTTTCCTTTTATCTTACTTTCTGTTTCTTCTTGTCTTTAAATAATAAATCTACTCCAATGCAAATTCTGGTACTGGTACTTTTGCCCGCTGGCTTCCCATATTGAGCTGAGGGGAGCAGAACTGTAATTTTTCTAAAAGCTATAAAAGAAGATTAGAAATGAAGAAGAGTCTGCTGGTGTCGGTGGAGGTACGTTGCCATGTAGACTCTAGAGATACCATCTTCCAGCAGCTGCTGGAAGTGCCTCTGTTCTCGCCCGGTGCTTTCCAAGTCATGCCTTGTGCAGTGCAAGGGATAGACCTCTGGTCCAGGTTTAACCCCTCAGCTTGAAATATTCTCATAACCAAGATAGTTGATGTTAACATTGGTAGATTGTCAGCCTGCAGTAGGCACAAGGCCTGACATTTGTAAATACAGATTGTCTGTATTTACATCTGTTCTTTGATATATAAATGGCTATATTCTGTCTCTCCTCCCTTCTTGTTTGTGGATAGAAATTTGCAGAGCTCTTTCTGAAGTGCTTTGAACCCATCATAGACCATGAATTATTTTGCTTCATTTTTTCAAATTTAGAATGGTAATTTATCATTTTGGCTGGCATGTCTTACCTTCTAAGTGAGGAATATCCTTTTGAATCCCAGAAGAGAAAGTAAAAGCAAATGTCATCCCAATGGTATTATCACAGTCTCTTTCAGAATATCAATGTCAACTTTTGTCCTAATCTTTTTACGTGTTTTTCTGGAGTTCATCCCTGACATGAATTAATAACTGCTGATTTTTTTGCAAATGTATCGTGTTACTAGGAAATTTTATTTAGGCTGCAGGGAGATGAGGTGTGCATGTTTATCAGCAGATAAGAAAAATAATGGGAAATTTTTCCTTATGACGAGCAAGTGGAGGTGTATCAGAAACAGGAGTCATGAAGAAGTCATAAACAGGGCAAGATCTGTCTCATAGATTATCTTCAGCTCTTTCAGCTACTTCTGAATCTCCTGTCTGTCTGCTCCCTGTGTATGTCATGCTTATATCTCTCACTCAATGAAAGCTAACACTGCACAGATTTGCTGCTCTATGATACTTTATGTGGCCTGAAGTGGTTAACTGAAAATGTTGATATTTTTTCATGGGAAATTTTTTGAGCATATAATTAGACTGCCGTAAATACCAGTGTGACTTAGATATGCAGCCTCTGGAAGGAAAAAAACAGTGTCAGGCAGATAATTTTCACATGACTCAAGGACTTGAATTAGCAAAGACAAAAGTAGTCCTGCACCCCCACACTATCCACTGCTCCCATCTCTGTCATGCTGGAAGAGATAAGATGTGTAGGCACCATTTTATCTCACCTTTGATTTGCTGGGAGTACTTGAGGGATGAGAGCTAGTGTAGAGCTCTGAGTGTAATATACAACATAAACACAAAGCAAACATCCCTCCATAACAGAAACTCCACTCATTCATAGAGGGAATTGTATCCTAGAACCGAGAAAGACACTTCAATGGGTATCTTATATCTACACTGAGTTCTGTGGTTTTTGCCGTAGAGGAAAGTGTTTGCCTCTTGGAATGGTTTGCAGAAGGAACCTGTTTAGGAGAATGCACCTATGAAGCCCTTCATTTTACATAGTTTTCATTCTTACTCGTAAGGATGTGCATGCTCCTTGACCCTGAGTGCTCACCTTGCTGCATCTTCAGCTACCTCAAGGGTTTTTTTTCTTAAAGAAGCAAGCATCTGTTAACAAGGCTCTGCTTGCAAAAGAGCTTTGCAAAGGGTTTGTTTCTGTGTGGGGGTTCTCATTGGGATCCTTGGTGTGTTAGGACCTCCCAAACCCTATTGCAGCTGTCTGTGTTAGCAGCCCTATTTGAGAATTGGTAGCAGTTGCTTCTCTCCATTTTGAAGTTGAAAGCAGAGTGCTGCTGTATTGTTTCTAGTAGCTGTTGTTTATATGTATATGGCAGGTTGTTATTATCTGCAAAAGTGGGCCAGAAAGACCGATGCTTTGAAACACTGCAATTGCATATACCTTCCTTTTGTGAAACACCTTGCCATCAAGCCACTCAATGAGATAAATGATGTACTTACAAGCAGCTGATGTTGAGCTGACAAACAGCAATATCTGAGCACACGCATTTATGAAAGAAAAGCATGATGTACTGCACATGGTGATTAAACTGTTCATCCTTGTTTTCCTGGATTTATTGATAGAATGCTTTTTCAACAGTTTCCTCAATTTCCCAGCCTGACTGTTCTGTGGCATCAGAAAGCAACAGTGACAATATTGCAGTGATGGTGTCTCTTTTAAAGGTGTTGCTCTGATAGACTGTTACAATCTTGGGTGGTGGGTGCACACCCAGCAAAGATTTCTGTTGCCTTTTAATTTCATTTTACTGGCTGATTTGCATACTAGACGAAGAGAGGCAGGTAGTCCACAAATTCATTTCCAAGAAAGCTGAGGAAAAGGTAGAAAATAGGTTCTTCATGTGCATTGAAGGTGTGATGGAGTGCATTCCAGTTGAGTCGGTGGTTGAGATCCTCCCTACCACCTTTACTTTTTCTTCAGTTTTTGGTTCTTGGGCAATCATCCAGCCTTTAGCTCCATCTGGTTCTGGGTGTTTACCTCTCTTATCACTCTTTTAGCACTTCCTCAAGGTTATAGTTGTAAATTAAAGTGTAGGCATTAACCCAAACATATGATTTTACTCAGTTTACGTGTCCCCCCTTTGAGGCTTATCTAAGGAATCTGGTAATACAATGGCAAGGGAGTGGAGCTGTGAACCCTTTGATGCACTCTACCCTTCTCTAGGCAGATAATTTGTTCCTTAGACTAACCCCAAAGGCCATAACTTGCCCTTAAGGCTTTCCGCATCGATGAATATTTGAGGCATTAACTCCTTCAGTTCCTTACATAGGCCAAGGCAATGTTTGCTACTTGCTCCTATGTGTTGTAAGCCCATGAGTTGCTTTCTCAGAAAAACGTCCCTTTAAAATCAGAATATACTGTTGGGAGATAAATAAGTTTGCTGCATCTGTTGGAAGGATTAAAGTCTATTTGGATGGGAACCAATCTTATGTGCCTTTCTGTGAGTGAGAATCCAGGGGATTTCCATTGCAGAAAGGTCACTGAGAGGGAACAGACCGCTGTGTTCAAGCAGAGGAAAGATGGTCAACTTGGGGATTTTGAGCTTCACAAGGCTCTCAGTCTGCTGAAGTGCGATTCCTGTGCCTCTGATTTTTTTTGACACAAGTGTAGTACTGTGGTCATGTACCCTAGGTCTTCATGAAGAATAGGTTATTAAATTTACAGTGATGATTAATAGTACCAAGTCTAATAAAAGTGCAGTACTAAATGACTTCACTTGACCACTTAACATCTGATAAAATGTCACTAGAGTGAAGCTGTACCTTGGATATTGCATGCAGTTATTTCTCTGGGGGCAGGAGCTGCGTATAGGGGCAGCTGTAACTTTTCCAAAATATGGAAAGAGAGGCAGGCTGCTGGAATGTGATTATACCACTGTAATCTAGCTACTTGGTTTCATCTTTCCCATGGTTTCATGAGCTTCTTTAGCAATTCTGCAATGTTAATCTGTAGAAAATCAAATTAATTAGGATTTATTTGACTTCAAGAGGTGAGGAAGCATATGTTCCGAACATACTCCAGGGTGTCAGTGTGAGAACAGATGGTGAGGAACGGAAAGTCTGCTTTCCTTGCCTAATCCTTTCTCCTGTCACTCACCTTCGATGCACAGTCATGAATATAGATTATTAAATGAGTCATCCTCAGATTCCTTATTGATACTGAGACATACTTATAAAATGACACAGAACATGATACCTAATAGGTAGAGATGGTTTAAAAGTCATATTATCAAGATAAATGACTGTAAAAATGAAATGGCGGCTTGACAATCAATGCCTAGAGATGGGAATGCTGAAAACTGCCATGTAAAATTTTGTATTTTGAATATAAATTGAGCACATTGCATGGATATCAACGAACTTCCAGTAATTTCACATTAAAATTGTGGTTTTAAATGCACAGGCATCAAAAAAACAGAGTTGATGTTAGCACATTAGCTACACAAACACACGAACACGTCAGGCAGACTGCAAGTTCCACTTCAGTTTTTAGGTATACTCTGTTTATGTTTAAATCATACCTCACATCGTGGATTAAATCTGTTCAATTCACTGTCTATTAAATGTACCCTCTTATTTTCCTGTATGCACTGGCATTTTCAGGAGGTGTGGGAGGCACTTCTGCTCAGGACTCAGTCCTGGCTATTTTCTGTATTGATGCAGCACCATGAGGTGTGCCAGGGCTGCAGCCCCAAGTGCTTGTACAATATTTGCATGGTGCTTGCATTTGAAGAGGGACAGAAGTGTTTGTGTGTTGCATAAAGCATATGAAAGATGCAGGGCACTTTCTGGAGTTCAAGAGCAAACTAAGCTGCTGCATAAACACAGCAAAGGTTTCTATGCCCGTACTGTAATTCAGATGCTCTGACAGAGATGGGTTATGACATGCTGTGATGTTTTTGCGGGAAATAGATTTTAAAAATGTTTAGTTTGTGAAACAGAAGCTTATTTATCTGAACGTGTGTATCCATGATGGTAATTTTTGGCTGTTTCCAAACCCACGTATTATTTTGTGTACAAAACAAATATCATAGTATTGACCATGCAGCACTGAGACTTCTTAGCAGTGCCTGGAGATTTTCCGCTTCACACACTGCTTACCTGATACGGCCTCACTGTAGAAACTTCACTCTCTGTAGTGAAGAAGAAACAAAAATGCACTGGAAGACAGCACTATGCTGTTGGATGCCTTTGACACATCAGGAATGGATTTCATTGCTCTTAAGAAATAGAGGTTCCACCAAGGGTGTTTCTCTAAGGTTAGCCTAACACCCCAATGACATAACTTATGAACAGCAACAACAACACAAAAAAAAAGAAAAAAAAAAAAAGAAAAATCACCCAAGTCCTCAAATATTAAGCTTATTACCAACATATATTATTGTTATCAGCTTTCCCTTTCATCTAGCAGAAAGCATCTTGAATTGCCATGTTCTCTCTGCTGATATTGGAGAGGGGTGTTTCTTGTGGAAGAGGCTTCTGCTGAAGCAAGTTTACCACTTTAATGCAGGTTTGGTTTTGCAACGTAACTGGACTGACTTTCTTTGATTAACTTAGATAGTACCACACTGAGAGGCCTTCATCCATAAGATACGTTTGCTTAACTTGAAATGCATTTGTTTCACTTATTTACATAGCACCCAAAGCTTTGATTTTATCTGTATTAACAGCTTTTGCAGTCAAATTCTGAAGCTAAGCATGTGTAAGCGTAAATGTTGAGGCTATTGCCTCTTTTGGTATTTTACTGTATCCTGAAGCTCCATATTGTCATATGATGGCATAAAAAGCTAGGATTCAAATCCTGACTAAAACTATCCCCTAATGATACTACTACAGTCATTAGAAAGTCACCTCCTGAACTTCAGTGTCCTCACCTCTTCCCTATATCCCCCAGGTCTTCATCCCTCCGATTTACAAATAATACAAATTCCCAGTTTTGGTTCCAGAGTTTTTTCTGAGATCTCATTTGTAGTCTTCTTTATGTGTCTCTGCTATTAAACCTCATTGAATAATAATTTTTTCAGTATGCATATCACGATGATGATGCAGAATTCTTTCTTCCAGCTTTGCTCTTGCCAATATAGAAGTTACACTTTTCAGAGAATGTAGTTATTCTTTTTATTTTCTGTCATGTCCAATACCTAGAAAAATGTAACCCAGCCCTTACAAGAGATTCTAAGCACGAATTAAGAAAATGCTTGTTTCTACCTGGAGACCATCAAAGCACTGAAAATTTCTGGGCAAATAAAATAAGATGAACTGGTTCAATCCAATTCTATCTTGAATGTTAATAAAAACTGTTGTGTTGACCTGTTTAGTCCCCAAGAACATATGATCGTTTTTTATATAAGGGAAAATAATGTTAAGATAGTAATGGAAAAACTAGGACAGCTGCAAAAAACTGCTGTCCATTTGTAACCCAAATTGTTATTACCATTTTTGGATAAAATATAATTAATTCAATGGTAAACTACATTGGATAGACATGAGGAAAGGGAGAGACATCTGTTCTACAAAGCTCTGAAAGAGAGAAAGGATAACAAAAGCAAAAGTAATTCTAGTCAGTTGAGTGAAGATTTCACTCCTTTTGCCCTGATGTCACCAAAGCTTTGTAACATCTAGTCTGAAAAAAACCCAGCCTCTTGTTTGGAGGTTTGTCTTGGAAATTTGCCCCTTGCAGGCAGCCAGTATGGTTGGTAAAGCTCGATTAACCTCTTCTGGGTCAGTTCTACTGCAGTGGCTGGTACAAAGAAAACTAATTTAATGTTAGTGCAAGTGTTTCAACTGGTAGGGAAGGTACTTTCAGCTCCAGGGCAGGCCCACTCTTCATACATGCGGTGCGGCCATGCCCCACGGTTGGACGTCTGTGTCCAAGCTCACACACGGCTGCTTCTTCCTGAGTAGCTTCCACTGTGATGGTGACAACTGACTCTTCCTCAACACTCTTTTTATACTCATCTCATTGGCTAAGTAGGAGGAATTAACATTCATTTATGCAACAAATATCCCATAGTTAAAATGCCATTATGGAGAGGAAGTAAAATGCAAGTGATCAGATTTTTAATCTTTTTTACAAGTTGTGGTTGGTTTTTTTTGTTTGTTTGTTTTTTGTTTTTGTTTTTTGTTTTTTTGTTTTTTTAAACAAGATTCCTTTTCCTTGGTTCTCCATCACTAATTTTGAGAGGTAGGCACTGAATATTTCTCGCAAGAGGAGACCAATTGGACAACTTTATCAGATTTAAAACTTCTTACAAAGTTGACAGTTTTATGAAAGTGTTATTTGGTTTTGTCTAAATACAATGTGTCTCTAAACAAGCTTCATTTATTATCTGTAAAGATGGAACAAACTAAGACATAAGAGCACCCACTGTTTTTATAAATGTAGAATGACCTCAGCCCTCCAAATTCCCATCTGAACAGCCCTATCCAAACTTCTGATTTCCAGGCTTCCAACTAAGCTTTGAAGCTGGAGCAAAACCAGACACATTACCAGGGAAGTGAACACTGTTGTTTTGCAGAGCACATGGTATTTTAATTCTGTAAACTATTAGAATGAAATATTGAATGATAAAAGCTAATAAAGAAGTAGGAAAAATTCCCACTTTGATTATGACATTTTCAAAGAACTTCATTAATCTACCCCTCTGTAACGCAAGGGGAATATTATAACCCATTTTATAGGTAAGGAAATTATGATGTGCTGAACACATCTTGTCACAGCTCTACAACTGGTTTTCAAAAGCTTTTATAATTCTAAATTCTAATTCTAATTTCTAAAAAACTTTTCTAATTCCTACTCCCTCAATTTGCTGGACTAAATTACCTTTTTTATTTTCTGTGTGGCAGGTTGGCTGATGTGACTTTTTTTTTCCTCTCTGCCTTTCGCTCCTCCTGCAGTAATACTCTACTCATAAAGCTATGCATATGCTAGGGAAGGGAAAAGCAAAAGGAAAAAGGAAACTGGTTAAACCTTACATAGCTTATTTAAGTGAACTGCATTTGCTTCTGTCAGGCAAAATTTTTCTGATGTTGCTCAAGTAATAAAATGCTACTGACTTGTGAGTAGATAGTTTCAAATTAAATGTGAGTGTATACATGAGCAAAAAAATATCGAACTGTGTGTATAGCACCTCCTAGCTCAGAAGTTGACATCTATTAGCTAACTAATAAACAGGAAATGGGTTACAGTCTGCTTTGGTTTCCACAAATGTTTTACAGTGAAAGAAGATGCTTTGTTTAGAACCTTTTCTACTGTGTGTTTTCTGGTTGTTTCCAGATTATGACTAAAAATAACAACCACAATCAGCATCTAGTTTTGTGGAGCTCTTTTTTCCTTAAAGCAAAATATTCAGATAAGCCTGATTGGTACTGACAGGGCAATCAACATTTTCTTTTTTTTTTTTTTTTTTTTTTTTTCTGCTTTGTGCAGGAGCTGGAAAGCACATTGCCAGGCTTCTCAGAGTGGCAGGGGAAGTCTGGATCCTCAGCTGATAACTATGCACAGGACGTGGCTTTAAGATGCCAGGAAGCAGTCGTGAGATTTCAACCAAGGTAAGCCTTGGGATAAGACAGCACATTTAATTTCTGATTAACTATAGGAAAGCCTAATTAATTTGCTGCCTTTTGTATAAATTATTCAGACTCCTGGCTCTCATTGGCAGTTGTATTCTGTATTTATATGGCTAGAACTGTTTGGAGAAAGTGAAAGGGATGTAGATAAGAATGCCAATTTCATAATTCTTTAAACCCCTTACATTTCAAACAGGATGAACATCCTCAGTTCTGAAACTTCAATTCCTCTGTGCCAAGTTTCAAAAATATCTTGGCACTTCTTTTCTTTTTCCCTCAGTGCTGACTTGCCTCACTCTTTCTCAGAGCTGTATTCTCACTGAGAAATGAGAATGGGAACCTGCACACCTGATTTTAGTATGGGTATGCAATTATGAATAGTTTAGACCTTGGGTGCTGTGGCAACTGTGCTTGTTCCAGTGCTGTGAAGGGTACAGGGTGTTCAGGTCAGTCACTAGCTGAGTCTCCACGGCAGGTAATTCATCTGACAACGAAGTAACTCAGCTCTGGTAACCACTGGAAGTCACAGTTCCTTCTCTGATCCTTCATGGCTGTGCAAAAGGCTAAAAATGGGGTTTCAGCTCCCACAGCTGGCCCAATCTACCAGCGAAGACTGGCAGGCTTAGACTGTGTTAAATAAAATCATGCTCTTCACAGCCATCAGTTTTTGGGGCACTAGTTTACAGATTTCCCATGCTCAGGTGTTGGTTTGGCCCTGCCTTGCTGTGCACATACAGTTTTAGGCAGGTGACCCAGGTCTCTGTTCTCTGTCTCAAGGTGTATGACAGCCTTGGTGCTGTGTGGCAGAGGCTCTGGCTCTCTTTGGAGGGAGTGGAGCAACAGCTGTACATCCCAGGGATGCTCAGCGGGTCGGGGCGTAGCTGGTTGACATACAGAGCCCATTGCCTCTAAGGTCTGTGCCACATCAGGACTAGGCTAGGAGAGATGGTTGCCATCCTATGGCAGCGCCGTGCTCAGGTGAAATGAAATGGTTGCCTTCGCCACAGCTTTTAGTAGGCAACGTTGTAAATGATATTAATTTGTGCTCTCAAAGGAAGCTTTTGCAGAATGACCAAGTTTTTAATTAGCTTTCTCAAAGAACTGCCTTCACCCTCCAATGCTTGTACGTGCGATTGAGACACTGCATCTCAGAAAGTGTTTCTAATTAGCCCCAGCCTAGGAAGCCTGCCTTCTCATTTTCTGGCATTCTTTATGCTACAAAAAAAAGGAGTATAATGAGTTTGGTACCTAGCGGCTCTGCTGGTAGGAGGTCTGTGTATGGACAGGTAATGAAATAACAGTGGTTAATTTTGACTGATGAAAGAAACAAGGACTTTAAAGAAACAAGGACTTTAAAGATAAGAACCAGAGTAGAGTGTGCATGAATTAAACAGCAAACACAGCAAAGTTTCCCTGTCCACTTCAATAGTTTGGACTTTTTAGTCTGCCCAGCATTAAACCATTGTTCACTATGCTGTTTATTCCTGCTTAACAGTGGGGTAGCTCCTTAGGAAGCCTGCTATCCACAAGTGCTAAATCTGTTAAATAATGGTGCCTGGATTTACCATGCTAAGAGCTGTGAAAGCGTAGTGATCAAATCTCAACTCTGTCCGTGTCTTAGTTTGATTATATTGCCACAAAATGGAGGCAACTTTGCTCTCAAATAAGGAACTTCAAACTTGGAGTAAACAAGCATTAGTGTGTGGTCCCTGGCCTCTCTCACCCACTTTATTTACTTTAACTGTCTTCACTGTCCTTGGAAAAAAGTTCACAACCACCCAACTGGGGCAGGGGACTTTGAATTACATATGCTGAAGTTACCACTTTCAATTTGAGGGTAACTGTGTCTGGTGACTCCTCTTCAGGGTCACCAGCAGCTTGCCCCATCCTTCTGCTGTCAGTCAGCTTTGACAGGGCCAGAGCAATTACATGCCCATGTCTCAGCTCATGCGCATCGCTGGTCGCTGCCTCAGGATCGCAGAACTGGCTTGTGCAACAGGCTGTGAAACATAGCTCCCAGGGTATGACGTCTTGCCTTGGTTTCTGCCTTCTCTTCTCTGTGACATGGCAAAGGTTAAGTATTCAGTCTTGGCAGCAGGCAACAATCATAGCTAGATTTTGACAGAACACGTCTGCTAGCCCCATAAAAGTTGAGTTTCACTATTTTCCACCCTGGTTTTGCTAGGTTGCTGGTAAAATTAGCGATGCTTTGGAACACGACATCTGCCTAGGATCCCTAACTCATAGACCAAAAGCTTTTTGGTCTTTTGGAGAAGGAGGAGATGGCCAGACTGCTGCAGGGGTGCCACTGGGCAGGCTCCTCTGTCTATTGGATGTGTGTGGGGAGCATGGGAGAAGAAGGATTTATTTCTGTCTCATCCTAGGAAGCAAAGTTGCTTATTTCTAGTATGGCTTATTGTTACTTCTGCTTTAATTTAGTTTCTGCAGACTGCTATAGCTCTGTCATTTGTCTTATTACAGTTTAAAGTTTTAAATGTTTCTGAACAGTATTTTTTTTTTTTAAATCTTTTTCAGTGAGTGTGGGGCAGCTAAAAACAGGATTGTTTTAATTTGTTTAAATATGGATTATAAAATACTGAGTTATGAAAAACTCTTCAGTACATTCCTTATAACAGAGTAACCTAACAAGGGATCTTCATTAACAGATATGTGACAAAGAGGAACAGAACAGGCAATATAAGAGAAACAATCTATAGAAATACAACTCAGAAGTGTATTTGATGATTGGTTTTTTTTGGGGGGGTGTACTTTCATTTTATGACAACCGCTGTAACAGTGAAGGAAAAATTTTAGTGGGATTTGAGAGAAATGGAAGAACACACTTGGTGAGGAGGTTTACAGTCAGAAGAATGAGGGCATATACTCTCTTGTTCTTGGCTAAGCTATCCCTGACATGTGAATCAAGGATTTTAATTTCAGGAGGTGATTATAATGCATGATTTATGAGCATCAGCATCAATTTAGAATACAAAATGCCATCTTCATTGAAGGAAACCTTTACATTTTATGATAAGAACATGGATTTCTAATGCTTGTATTACATTTTGATCGAATACTGCTCTAGTCATTGTGTGTAGTTGGGTTTGGATAAGAGTAATATAATCAGCACCTTTGTGAGATAAAAGTTATATGCAGGCCCCAGGAACAAATGTTACAATAAAGAGAATTGTCTTTTTTTAACAGAGAATAGGAAAGCCAGTATGAAACAATGCATATGATTACAAAAAGCTTCTCTTACTGATTGCGTTCTCAAAGGCAATCAGTAAAAGTGATGTGGATCACAGAGCTGTGTACACAGTTACCTGAATAGAGGATGGTGTTTTCTTCAAATGTCTGTGACACAGAGAAGGGAGCTGAAGCATAGGATTACTGGGCAGTAGGACTATCAGTGTTTCAGAGAAAGCTGTATTCCAAGTCAGTGTGGGAACTATGCTTTGGGGGTTTCTGCCAAAGACAAATTCCTGAAAGTTCCCCCTCTTTCCCATTCCTCAAATAAAATTGGAGCGGAGTGGTTTTATTTAATAGGACTCACATGGTTCCTGGGTTGGTCTCTAACTTCTGCAGAGGCTGGATGTTGGCAGTTGCTGTCTGGACTATGACGGTTCTCCAGGAAAATTGGAAATACTGGGAGCCCTGGGCTGCCCTGGATATTGGGCTCAGCCAGTGTCCCAAGGTTTCTGTGCTGCCCTGAGGGACGCCAAGCTCTAGTGAGGCTTTCAGTATTTAAGTTTTCAAGGCAAGTAGCTTTTGAGGGTGCAGTTCAGGTGGGGACTCTCATAGTTTCCAATCTTTCTGCTGAACAGCTACAACTCAGGGATGCGTGGGAGGGAGCAGGGAAGCTGCAGAAGTGCCGATGTCCCCATGCCATATGGCGGGCCCATCCTGGTGAGGCAGAGCTTGTATGGCTGTGTTCCCGCACAGGCAGCCAGGTGAACAGGGAAAAAACTTGGCCAGATTCCCTCAGAGTCCTGCCTCAGACCTGGCGAAAATTCATCGCGACCAGTACATGTCTGAGAATAGCTCCCTGTCAGCAAATCAGGATTTGCTGATGAAACATTGTTTTGCTGGGAAACGACTGACCAGTTCCTAAGAACGGTTTCTTCAGGAATCTTGATATTAAAATATTGGTGTTTATGGTTCCAGTGATAGGTCTTGTATGAAGGCATGGAAAATCCCTGATCAAGCTTTTGAATTGCACTACACTTAAGGGAAAAAAAAAAAAAAAAAAAGGGGTGGGGGTGACAGGGGGACAAAAAAAAAAAAAGGCATCTTACTGTAGCCCAAGTAAGGACTGTTTCTGGTGCTATGAGAAACGTTTATAATAAGAAAAACAAGTGTGGCCATCCACGGCCAGCCTTTACATAACTGCTGTGATTGATGAGACAGGCACAGCTACCCTGGCGCTCTGTCTGGCTGCATATTCCAGCATTTGGAGTCTGCCCAAGGAGTAGCCTAGGGTGTACCCAAACAGCCTTCGGTCCTTCGTGGTGGTGTTTCTGTCGTTGCAGGCGTGCACTTTATGTTCATCCAAAAGCCTGTTACAGTTTTATATTGCTTTGGAAGGAGTCATAGGCATACTTTTGAAGCATTCACCTGCAGCCCTGTATTAAGGTGGTGCCTGTGTTTGAATTTCATAATGCTTTTTGCCATCTGTGGAGGTGTTGGAAAGGACCTTTTTCTTTTCCTGACGCTGAGGTGTGTTGGTCGTGGGGTCTGCCTTGCTGTGGACATGTGAGATGTAGCCTCTGAATAGGGCAAATAAGTCCTCTGAGGGGGTACAGAGACCACCCTTTCTGAGCTCTTAACCTGGTAGGACACCCTCACAGTGGGAAGGGTAAAACTGATTGCTAGGCTGGAGAAAGTGAAGGAGCATTTGGGCCAGGATAGACTGAAAGAGAATCTGGAAAAGGGGGTTCATCCCACAGCACAGCATGTGGTTTGCTTGCCAGGATTTATCCTGGCATCACTAATGCATTAATTGGCCTGAGACACTGAGCACTGTGGCATTGTGGTGCATAAACATGTAAGTCTCCTGAGGATGGGGTTAGTGTGATCCAGGGTTGGATTGCATCGAGACTTGCAAATTACAGAATGTAATGCTCCTTTCTGGGTTCCGTCTGGGAAATAAGAAGTGAATTTGCTTAGGTTATCTTTAAACATTTTTCTTAGTTTTTAAAATTATGTGGTTTTATTTGAAATTTATGCAAGTTTAGAAGTGATATCATGCATAATTCAATAATTCACGTGTTCTGGTCTGCTTTTTAAACAGCACACTGCTCATGCAAATTGATCTTCCCCTTGAAGTCAGGTAGGAGCTCTGTTATGATAATTAGAATTTAGAATATTTTTTTTTTTGATGTCCACAAGCTTCAAATATACATATTACTGGGTTGCATCTTTGTCATCCATGCCATGCAGAACAAGATAGTTCTGCCAAAGCCAGAGTCTGTAGGGAGGGTCTTTCATATTTTATAAAGAGTGATATAACATATATGTGAGTAGTAGCCATGGAGAGAATTCCATTTTCATTATTTTGTGTGATGTAAATTATAGAAAATAAGGGTTCCCTGCAATTATTCAAAATTTCAGCTAAGGCTTAAAATAATTTTAATGTACTCAGCACAGATGGAAAATTAGGGCTTGTTCCTGCTGCTTTTGAAGTTAATGGATATTTTTTGATTGACTTTTAATAAGAGTAGGATCCAAGCCTTAGTTATTAACTTGTAAGCCCTTTGTTGCCTGATGACAGCCAGATAACCTGCATTTGCCTAGCAGAGCATCTAATCTTGGTGAAAACAAAAAAGCACATCCCAAAAGTCTCTGTATAGAGTAAGATCAGCTCAGCATACGTATATGACTGTTGGTGTAAATGGTCTTCACACAAAAATGATTACTCACTTTGATGATTTCAGTATCTCCAGAATCCAAAGAATGTAAAACTAAGAGCATCCAGTATTTTTAGTGAAAAAAACAAAACAAAAAAATTCCAGTAAAATGCCAGACTTCTGCATCCCTAAAACAGCAGACAAGAACATCAACCTGAATGAGAGAGAGGTGGTCCTTCAGGGATGCTGTAAGCTTTTTGCTCTCCAGAGTGCAAGACTCATGAGTGATACAGGTGTGAATTATGTAGAACTTCGTATGGCACCTGTAAGAACAGCTGCAAGTCTTTATGTTATTTTGTTTGTTTGTTTGTTTGTTTGTTTTAAGGAGCATTCACATTTCCTCTGTGTTACACACCCTGAAAAGAGTGATCCAAATGAACACCAAAAATGTACAAATCTGACAGGTGTCCTTTCCTTAATTTCCTTTATGTCTAGCTCTAATTTAATGCAGTAAATCACTCTAAATGTTTCATTAGTGAATTAATTCTTCATCTGTTTGTATCCTTGAAGGTCCTTCTTTACATGTTAGTAAACCAAACGCTAAAGATTGCACTTTTTCATATTAAATTAGTCCTTTTGCTCTCCCCATGCTTTTCTCAGTTTTCTTTAACTCTCTTCTGCTGCCTCATACTGTCCTCTCTGCTGCCTAAAAGCTAGAGATTGGCTGTCAGGCATTAACCTTTTTGCTTCTGTAATTCCATTTTCCTTCTGCTCTCTTCACATTATGGAGACATTGGCTATGTTTCTCGTAGATCGCTAACCTGTGTTTCTTGAGGGAGGTGCAGGCTGTCTGGCCCGTGAGACCTCCCATTCTGATGCTAGATGTACCACCAACAAAATTACTCATTTTTGTTCCAATGTGAATTGTACACCTTGGATCCTGTTTGGAAGCAAATGGTTGTTCACTCTATCTGATGTGTCTATTTTGGTAAGGAAAGTGGCATATCCAACATTTCAGTCTTTTAAGTGACTCATGAATCTATAAAGAACTCCAAAAAAGGCCCTGTGCCTCTGTCTGTACTGTTTTTGCAGTCTCTAGAGACTTCTAAAACTATGTGGTTTTGCCGGGATGACTCTGAGCACAATAGGCTGAAAAATATAAATTATTTTGTCCAAAGGAATCTGTGTTTTGTGTTAGTTTTGGTCGTGTCTGTGACTGAGTCTCACAGGGGCCAGCAAACATTGCCACCTTTTCAGCAACGAGAAATCTCATTCTCTGAGAGAGCAATAGTTTTCTTGCTTCATGTGAGTTGCGAGTCAACTTGTGATACACCCATGCCAGGCTTTGCAGTTGAGTGTGGAAAGCCTCTGTTTGCTTTGGGGAAGGACAGAGCTGTGGTATGAGGCTATTCAGGTTGCTCACCTAACCCATGGGAAATTTTTTTAGGCTTCGGTTTCATTCATTGGTAGAGTGAATTTGTAACTAATCCTGAAGCTGGTAGCTGTGTGGAGCATTAGGTCACAACACATCTGTCTGGATGGGGCACAGATGTCTCATTATCCACAGTCAGATGGAAGAGATTTTCCTCCTGCCTGTCCAGGACCTTCCTTTCCTATTTCCACATGGAGAAGCATACAGTGAGGGAAAACCAAAGGTACGAACATCTCTGATGGCTGCAAAGTGACACTCATTAGAAAATGTGGACATCTCTCCTACTCAAATGATTTCCAGCTCCTCATGAGAGTCCCTTGGGTCTCTCCTGTGAAATTTGCAAAACAGAACTGAAGCAGAAAGTTGAAGATTGGGAGCCTGAAATACCATCAAATTTAAATATGGGAAGATTTATTCTCTGTGACTCTGATACAGGAAAACTCTTGTTCCTGACTTAAAGCATGTGGGACAAATCGTGCTTAGATTTAAACATATGTTTGAGCTTTTTCTGGGCTTTAACCCTATTAGCTCACCAAGATACTGAGAGCTGATCATGCTTCTGTAGGACTTTTTCTGTGTGATGGGGTGAGCCTGGATTTTAATGTCATGGTTTCCAGGACCTCATTCACAGTTTGAATATGTTATTTAGGTTTCTAGTAAAGTCACTGTTGTTTTGAATGAGGTATACAATGCACCTGTAACTTTCACAGAAATGTTACTTTTTAAATAAAACAACTTTATCCCATAACTTGCAATTTATGTACAGACATGATGAAAAGCTTGAAATATTTGCAGCACAGATAAGCAATCTATTGAGTGAAAATTCTTGTTTTGTTTTGTAGAATAGATGAGAACTCATGCATTTCACCCAAAGAAGCAAATGAGCAATTTAACAGCTTAAATGAGGTAAGCTTAACCAACAGTTGAAATATGTTGTTACAAATTTTGAATTAGATGCTTGGGTTTTGTTAATTCTAAGGTCTTGGAATAATGTAATCACTTGAGAATCTTAGGTTGGCTTTTTAATAAATCATTTCAGTCATGTTTTTGGAGAAAAGCTTAAAAATGTGATACAAGACTGCTATAATAGTTTAGAAGCCAAAAGCAAGAAATTTAAAAAATATTTAAAGCCAACTTTAGGCTGCTTTCTGTTTGTGCTCAGAAAAGAATTAAACATTCAATATTGACTGAGTGAAATGTCATCTTTGAGGAACATTTGATTTTTTTCCTCATATTACAGCTCAAAAGTGTTCAGCTATCAATTATGTTTTGTTTAAAAATAAGGAGTTCTCGAGGTTGCTATATCTTGCATAAATAAACTATGAACAGTGCAGTGTAGTCTAGAAGGTACTCTTGTTGTAAGAAGGGAAGAGGGGAGAGTTGGAGTGAAGAGAGGAGCAAGGAAAGCCAAACACCACCTGTGACACTCGAAACAAGAGCTGTTTTCACAGGGCGTATGCTAGCAGGGTGGTGTGACAGTAGAGCACAAAGAAGCTGTTTGTGTGATCATGTCAAACAACAGATGAGCCTGGGCTAGATTCTCACAGTCAGCAATATACTAGAGGCCAAAAGCAAGTTTTGCCATTATTCAAAGTGGGAAACCTTATAAAGCATCTCCCACAAACAACGGTATCCGCATACTAGTATAGAGTATGCTTAGACACTGCAAGGGCAAGGCACAATACTGGATTTAAACAAGGAGCAGACAGTATTTTTAAGCGTAGACCAAGACAACAGAACAACAGAAGCAGTGGAAAAAAAAGAAGGGAAAAAAAGAGGGGGAAGGGAAACCCATTCCTGTCAAACCATGGAAAAGATAGCTTTGTTTCCATCATGAGCCAGAGAACATCTATGTCTATTAATAGGAGCCTGACTTTCATTAGGGGAAAACCACAATGTGTCCTTTTAAAGGAATTCAGACTTAATCTTCTCCTTACAATGAATTATTTCCTGTGCATTTGTGCCATTGTTGTGTGGCTCACTTGAAAATCTCAATGCTAACCAGTAAGGCACATTCCATGGCTTATATAAGGCAGTATACTCAGCCTCTGTCTAGTCAATTAAGGCCCTAGGAGAAATCATTAAGTTAGTGCTTCTTTTGAGAATCCCATTGCAAAAAATCACCAAAGCTTCCCCTTAAAAGCTTCCATTTAAAATTCTTGCGAAGGCTTCTTTAAATGTTAATGTAAAATATTATTATAAATAAAATCAGTGTACAGTATCAAAACAGATAAGTAGATCAAAAATTAAAATGAATTGCTAGTAATTTATGGGAATGAGTACAGATTACATTCTGATGCTTTATTCTGCAAAATCTTAGATTGTACTGTGTCTCAGGTCTACTGCAAACCTAAATGGACATGTGTCATAAGAAAATAAATTCCCTTCTTGGATTAGAGAAAGTGCTGTCTCTCTTCACTGCTCACCCGTGGCATTATGCAGACCCAGGGCATATCTTGTTCTATCTTATTGTTGCTTGTTTGTTCCCCATAAAGGAAGTTTTGAACTGAAAATGTCATATGCCTCAAGACACAAATATTGCCATAACAGATACTGCAGAGATTTATTTATGTTCACATAAAATATGCCTATTGTATTTTAGCCTGAACTCTGAGATTAAAAAGCAAGAGAGGTGCTTTTATACACTGCTGTTCTAATGTGACATATAAAAGCATTAATTTCCTCAGAGTGAAGAAATTGAACAGGTTGATATTTGCTCAGTTTCCTTCCTATATGAATCACTTCAAAGGCCATTAAATTCTGAAAGCTTGGATTATTCTCCTTGTCTGCCCCAGCTGCTGTCATAAATCCAGTAAATCCATCAATAAACTGGATATAACAGAATAGCAGCCTTTCTGCCCTAGAGGGGCAGGAGCAGGCCCAGGGGCAGCATGCAGGCATCCTTAGTATTCAGAAACACCGTGCGTGAGGCAGGGCAGTTTCAATTTATGCAGAAAGCACCTAGTATGGGCTTTGCTTCTCCTCCCTTCTCCCCGTCAGCCTCCAGACTGAGACCAGGCTGGGTCTGTGGGTAGAGCAGGCCTATTCCCTTTCCCTCTTCCTTTAGTTCTTAAATTTACCAGACTGTGGGATGTCCACAAGGCCGAGACGAAGGATGCTGTGATAATAGTAATGCTTTATCAGGGAAGGAAATTATTTCTAACAGCAGTGGCTCTCTTTTGGCCACTGTGAGCTATCTGCTCTCTGCGTGGGTATGCAGCGAGCCCTGACTGGTGAGCAGGTCTGGCAGTGATGCCGTGAGGGCGGGCGCGGGGCTGCGAGGCTCCGTCTGGCACGCTGTCTCCCGTCCGGCTGTGGTCCCCTGGATGTGCTGAGCAACGCCTCCCGCGGTGCTGATCCCACAGGCCCCACGCTGGCACCTCCAGCTGGGGAGGGCGGTGCGGATGGCACCTACAGAGGAAAAGTTCATAAAGCTCTTTGAGGGGACTCCCCTCATTGCCACAGCATCTTGGCGATAAATAGGGAGAATTTGTTCATTCAGTAACCTGCTCTCCAGAGGGATTTAGCAGTGTGAATGTAGGCATGGGGTATTTATCTCTAGATGTAAGAGGTTACCTATCTCAATAATTCCTTGTCCTAAGACCTCAACTCTTGATTTCAATAATCACTGGATGCAAAGAGAGATGGTCAGAGTGGTACAGTCTACAGGCTTACTTCTTTGAAAAGATGGTTTCTTTTCTGCAGGCTGAGCTCCCTCTGCAAATGGCAATCCTTTTGTACTGTGGTTCTCCAGCAGGCAAGAGTGTGGTACTTTAATGACTATGTTTCCTTAAAGCATTAACAAAGATAACCAATAGGAAAGAAGTACCACACTGTCTCTCTTCTGTTTTTCTTGGACATTTTGTAAATGTCTTTATTTTTCCATTATCTTTGCTCTGGAATAATGCAGGATGTTTTTTCTTCTAGTGGAATTGGCATAGCTCAAGTTTTTTGAATTGTCAGTTACTGTAAGAGGACATAAGAAGAGATAAGAAACCTTTGTCCAAGACAATTCCTTCTTTTTCAAACTTGCAAAATACTATTCTTAAGAGGCAACAATATGATTATTTTTCCGAAGGAACTTAAGGATACATTTTAAATATTAATATGTCCTTTCCTTTGCATTAGCATGGAATCAGGAATTACTGCATCAGAAACGCTAATGTTAGGCACCAGAGTAAAGCTGGAATGAGCATCAAATCTGAAGTATTTGAACTGAGATCATTAGCTGACATAATATGCCATAGTTTAAGTTACTTCAGTGGTACTGGTTTTTCATATAAGAGCTTACTAAAATTTATGATGGTACCCACCATGACCTAAGATTTCCCTCTTTATGTATTTTAGCTGTTTGTATTTACTTCTAACGTGTTTTACAACTTCCTGCAAATGGCCCGCTTGGGCCCCAGGGGCAGGTCTGGGCCATGGGAGAGTTTTAAGTAGCATGTGCAAAGGCTGGTTCATCTCCAGGTTAGATGTGTTGCTGAGTGTGTGCAGCACAGGAGAGTACAGATCCCCACCACTGTGGCAGGATGCCTGCAGCCACATCAGGGCTGTGCAGGTACTGGAAAGTACTGGAGAATTAGGGGGAAGTTGGAAGGGGTCGGTAAGATTTCAGATGAACTTGGGAGGTGTGAGAAGATGAAGACAGGGCTCAGACTTTATTTTCCTCTCTTTTTACCTTCCTTTTGCTGGCAGTTGGTAGCATGTTGGCCTGCCCCCAGTGAGCACAAGGGTAGAGGACCTGCTGAAAGTTGCTGGTACATGGCCGAGTCCCCTCTCAGAGCACTTTCCTGCTCCGCCTGGGCTGCAGTTGCAGAAGCAGGGGCCTGCACTGCTCCTGCTGCAGAGCGGGAGGTCTGAGGCTGGCAGGACCCAGCCCTGCTGCTCTGGCATTGCCGGCACTTCGAGCAGCCCTCTGAGAGGGGCAGGAGAGGACAGGAGGCAGGGCAGGCAGCAGCAGCATCCCTGCCATTTACTAGGACGCTCCCATTGCCCATCAGTTGGTGACCCTGGGCAGCTTTGTGCTTGGCCTTTGCTTAAAGCTATGTCTTCTTACATGCGTTCCCATAAATAAGTGGTGGCTTTTCACGTATAGTGAGTGCACTGTGGCAGTGCCATAGTACTCAGCTGTGTTTTAGGAGTAAGATGAGGTTGATGGCATACTCCAAATTTGTCGTCTCCCTGGTAACATCAAAATGATCAAAGCTACTTTCCCTTTTTCTCCCTACATCAAATCCCTGTCAAGGGCACATTCACGAAATTATATAAGGTATTTCTATTATTATTATTATATGCATTTTTTTTAGCATTTGGCAGTGACTGGAAATTTGCCATCCACCCACCTTCCACAAATGGGTGAAAAATAACATTTAGAGCAACTGAATATAAACCAGCTGGTGAACTGCAACATAAACATTGCCAAAATGTATTGTTTAACAATGTAGTCTATGTGAATCATTTTTCATACTGAACTTGCCATAAATATTAATGTATCACAGTGATGCAAAGTGAATGTATTTTATTGTTATGGGAATATTTTGTCAAATGCCTAAAGTAACAGTTCATGAAGGTTATGTACTTTTGTCAGTTATTTGCCTATTTTCTCCTTATTGGTATGTTCTTTTGGTATGTTCACCTCTGCTCTCCTTACCTTGCCATTAGCATTTCTCACGATAAGGTCTGGGCTGGGATAAGAGTCCTCACCGGTTTGTAACTGGTATAGTCATCTTTTGCTAGAAGACATTAATGACTGTAAAACACTGCTTGTCTGCTGTGATAATTCCACAGCCAATTCATTTGGGCCTAGCTGGGATGAGAGGCAGTGGAAAATGAGGCCTGTCATGTCATGAAAATCCTTCCCAAAACAGTGCTCTGGCTATGATTCAAGTCAGTACCCTTTCCTTCACAAGGAAAATTCACTGCCACTTGGAAGCTGTTGAAGGTGAGATGGTTTCCATCATTCGGTCTCTAATTGAAGAAAGCCCTGTAGAGGATGAAAGAAGACTTTGAAAGTACCTCATAAAAAATGATCAAATTGATGGTAAGAAGTCTACTAAATGTATGAACAGCAGAACTCCAGTCAGGGTATTGCTGGGGCTGCTGGCTGGCTGACATGTAAAATGGGCACTAAGGTGATACAGCTGTGAATAGAGAAGTGGAGTGAATTCGTTATATTGGTCTTCACTGATAAAGCCCATGTTGGGGACATTTGGTATACTCTTTGTAGCAGACAGGTCAAAGGAGCCAGATCAGTCTGAAGTAATATATGCAAAATATTGGACCAGTGTCAGTGAGTGATGAAGAAAAGATGCCAGTCATTCAATAGTCCTGGAGAAACTGAGGTGTGAAGATGAGGCACTGCTGGTCAAGATGGGTAAATTATCCTTACAAATAGCAGCCAGGCCAGAGTGTGGTAGGCTGTTAATACAACCTGCACCTGAGAATAGTAAAAGTATCTTCTGCCTCTATATCACATGATATTTTTAAAGAAGAGGCATTTAGTTATGAATCAGTGCTTGATCTTGCAATCATTTTTTTTTTCCTGGTACTATAGGATGAGATGTCAAAATGTATATTGACAACAGATGAGAGGAACTTAATTCTGAAATAAATGTATATCTGTCGTGGTTTAGGCCTGGTTGGCAGCCAACCACAATGCAGCAGCTCTCTCTCCCTTCCCCTCCGGCAATGAGAAGGGACAGAGAGCCAGGCTTGGGGTTAGAGATAGGACTGGGATGGGGAAAAATTTCCCTTTATGATCACAAGCAAAAGGCAGACTCATTAGGGGAAGGAAAAATAGAACATACCTTTATTACAGACACTAACAACACATAACAGAGTAGGACAGTGAGAAGCATTGCCACATCTTGAGAACACCTTCCCCCCACCCCTCCCTTCTTCCCGGGCTCAGCTCTGCTCCCGATATCTCTACCTCCTCCCCCAGTGGCACAGGGGCAGGGAATGGGGGGTGCAGTCAGTGCTGCCACTTCCTTCATCTTCGGTGAGGGGAGTGTCCAAAACTTGTTCCTCCTGCTCCAGTGTGGTGCCCCTCTCACAGGAGACAGTCCTCCACAAACTTTCTCTGACATGAGTTCCTCCCATGGGCTGCAGCGTTCCCCACACTGCTCCGTCATGGGTCACTAACTTCCTCCAACTGGATTCCCTCCCACGGCTGCAGCCCTTCCCGAGCTGCTCCGGCGTGGGACTCCCCCGCATGCTGCAATCCTCCCAGCGCTGAATTACAGCAGCGGGGATACCTTTTCCCATGAGACCCCGGCCTTCTTCGGGCACAGAACCTTGATCAGGCAAGCAGAAGCCACAGGCCATAAATCAGTGTCTGCTCCACCGTAGATCTCCATGGGTGGCAGGGGGGGGCCGCCCTGCCATCTCACCACAGGATACAGGGGGGTCTCTGTATCCGGCAAAGCCATTTCATTGTTCACACATCTCTAATATTAAGCTTCTTCTGATGGGAATGGCCAGAGCTCCTGTTCACTCTGGGGCCAGGAGAAGGAAGGTGTTCCTGGATTTCCTTTTTGACTTCAGCTGAGGTCAAAGTTCAAGAGTTGAATTGTAACCTAATACATTTTGTGAAACGGGATATGGATTTTGAAGCACTCCTGACAGCATGCAGGGGGTTGCAGGATCTAGTTATGGTGATCTTGTGCTTTTTCAAAACTTCCCTATTTTGAGGTATCTCCTAGAAGGAACTATCTGCTCCCTTTTCACTGCCTGAATTCTATAAAAGGAATGAAAGGATCAGGGCTGAATGTCTTCCCTGCTGTTCTCAGCCAAAATAGTTTCCTTTTTAAATTTTTATATTTTTTTTTTAACCTAAAACCACAGGCATCCTTCAGTTTATAAAAGGGCTGTATTATAATAAAAATAATGCAAAGACATATTAACCTACTCACTACATAGGTGACATATTGTTACACAAAGGAAATTATTCCAATAAATAAATCCATTATTTCATTAAATGAATCAATAAATTGGTTTCAGGTTTTTGAGAGAGTGGGGAAAGGAGCTTTTCAGGGTGTAAACCTGAGGAGTTTTTCTTCTGTTGCAACTCAGATTTTTGCTCAGAAAATTCTCTTCACAAATATGTACCACTTGAGAGACTTAACATTTTACGTATATTCGGTGTGTGCCAGCTGTGTGATTATTAAGACAGCCTTGTGTGATTTTGTTTTATGTTGCAAGCTGTATTTCCCTTGAGAGAGGGGAACTGAATGTGTGGGGTATCAGTAGTGACTCATTTTGCCCAGTCAGATGGTGATTAGGGCTTTCACAGCATTTACATCACAGCAAGATGCTTGTGTCAGATTGTACAGCTGAATACTGCATGCGGCATTAAAGATTAAAATGAGAAATGGACCAAGCATGACACAGTAGCTGGAAGTGATGTTATGGATTATGAGCCTTGTCCTCATTGATTCATCTGCAGCAAGTGATAATGATCTGTTAATTTTACCTTTGCAGCAGATAGGATATGATCTGGTTGCCCTGTAGAAGCTGCAGCATCCTACATAAAAGCTATGCCTACATAAAGAACTGTCTCTAAAAAAGCCAATTAAAAAATACCTCTTTCAAGAATCCCATGAGGGAGTGTGTTCTTAGTAACTCTTTGTTTACTGCTGCATACTGCACTCACTGGCTGGAGGGGGAGATTTGTTTTTTTATGAATGGTAAACGGGGAGGGACATAATGTCATCAGATCGTGATGTCAGCCCAATGAATGAAATACTTCCTTAATGTATTGCTTCAAGACCAAGAAAAGGGACACCATCTCAGTTTGGCTTCCTAGAATAAATCGCCTTTTGCTGACGAAGTCGTCTTTCCCACGTGTCATGAATAATCCATGTAAATTGGGACTTAAATAACCAGAAGTCAGGAAACTCGTGGAATAGGGCACGTTTGTTCTCTTGCGTGTCCTCGCAAAGCTGCTAGTGGAACACCCCTTTGCAGGCGCTGCTAATGGGCTCAGTGAGTTGAAGAGCTATCGCTGTATTCTGTTGTTCTCTATCTAGCCCAATGTTCTGCTTTTGTCTGCAGAATTCTTTGTTGAAGCTACAAGCCCTTGAAACCGATCTGTGCTCTGCCTTTCTGCCAACCCAGGAAGAAACTCCTCAGCTGCCGGCACCCAAGAATCCAGCCCCTTCATCAGTCCAAAGCAGTGTGCAAGCTGATGGGGCCAGCTGTGGAGGTAAGTGATCATGTCATGATGTGTTCTCATTTGCAATTATGAAAAAGCCTTGTGACTTGCTGTTTAATATCAGATTTGCAGTCTTCTGGGATACAGTGCAGAACTAATGCAAAGCACCATTTCCTGATGCAAATGCTGTGTAATGTAAAAAGGGGTGATACCTGTTAAAAGAAATTAATGGCTATAACCTTCTGGGGTTTTTTTGAGAGGGAATCTTGCTTTTCAGATAGGTTTTAAGAATCCCGATTCTTCTGTTTTCAGTTTTTGTTTTTTTTTTTTTTTTTTCAAGTAAATTTAGGCTTTTTACTTCCTGTGTCTGTATTGTGCGAGATCACCTGCCATATCATGTAATTCTATTTTTGTCATTCTCTTTGTCAGAGCAATATCACTTCATTTCTTTTATTATTGATTTTAATTTAATGCATCATCAGAGAGATAGCAAAGGTGAGTTTTACAGCTTAACAAATTTTTAATCATTCATGAACCTGTATTATTATCCACCTGGGCAAACTGTGATGTGTTATCTCTCCCTCCTTCCTCAATATGGAAACCACTCCTTGCAAATAAATAGCCCTGAGGCTCTGCACTATTTTTGTCAATTCACAGCTTGTAGTCACAGGGCTGGCAGAGTCGTGATGCTCAGTAGAAGAGGAATCACTGTTCGTGAAAAATAGGTCAAAGGCAATATGACTAACACATCTCACAGACAAGTGGCATGAATACACAAATACTTAAATCGTTCACCATGTGTGGTCCAAATTAAGGCAGATTGGTCAGTAATCCTTTTGCAATTGATGTATTATGTCGGAATAAAGGCTAGGTTTAGAAGAACTTATTTCAGAAGCTGTTTGTTCAGAATTTTCAGGAAGAAATAACAGTAGGTTATTTACCTAAAAAAAAAAATAAATCAGAAGTGATAGCATTCCAACTGAAGAAATTATAAAGTTCGAGGTTTGCATTGCACAATTAGGGAAAGACAAAGGAATGTAAAAATACTAAATATCCTGGGTTTTAACTTTAAAAGAAAAATGGATGCTTTAGCCCAGCTAGACAAATACCTTAATAGCTCTTGGATACAGGTATGGAACTTGCACTGGTGCTAGTCCCTTGGCGTGCACCTGAGGCAGAGACAGGTCTCGTATTTGTGCCACACAAGCAGAGACATTTTGCAGCCCATCCGAAATCTGCACTGACTCTTTTCCTTTATGGAAGGGTGGGGGTTTCCTCCTTTTCCAGTAGTTTATGGAATTATTTTGTTCTGGTAGTTTCATAATTCATTGTTAGGATGGTTCATAATTGCTTCCTTTGCTTATTTTTTGCCATTTTGTTTGGATTTTCTTTTCATTCATACTGCTAGTGACCCCTACTTCCAATACCCTTTCTAGCTCCTCTTTGCCTATCTCCAGCTACACAGGCAAATACTGGATGCTGTATCATTTCTCTCACACAATTCAGAGCATGCTCTGTCACTCTAGCTGTTCAAACTTGCGCTTTAGTTAAAGTTTACCTATTTAATGGATTTCAGTGTATGCTCAATCCTGCTAACATCTGGTTTGTGGGTTTTTTAATAACTTGTCATTTTGCATAGATAGAGCTAGTCCTCATTCTGTCTCTTAAATTACTAATGAAATCTTCTGATACACTGATTTTAGGTACAGTTGTCACATGGGACTACTGGCTATTTCAGCTCAAACTTGAATGGAAGTCCAGAGATTTGTATCAGGCTAGGGACAGAGTTTTTAGAGGATGTGCCATATATAGTATGTCTCTAGTTATTAGCCTTAGCTCGATGAATCAGGCAATAAAAATTTTAGTATCAACAATGTACAAAGATATTATTTTTAAAATAAACATGATTGTTGATTTAATTTCTTTTATTCCACATCCCAGTCAACAAAAATTAGAAAAAATACATTGTATATATGGTGAACGAAGCTGGAACAGTCTAGTAAAATGACAGGGTTTTTCAGGATGCAGATTTTAAAGGGGTGAGCAGTAACTGTTATCTCTGAGCAATGTCAGCAATTTCCAGTTTATTTTTGAATATGTAAAAAGTTGAATTAGATCTGGCAAAGTGAGTCCATAAAGAATTGCAAGGGGGTATTAAGCTAGTTTTTTTAAGGGAAAAAAAAGTAGAGTGTGAGTAATTTCTATAGCTTTTGATATGAGTATACATCAAGTATGTGACTTAAGCAGTGAGCAGCTGAACATAACTACAAGATGATCTAAATGTCTTTTAAATTAAAAATCCTGATAATGGCAATCACAGTTATAATGTGTTGAGGGATGAACACACTGCAGCTCTATGTATTCTTGTTTATATACAACAGAGTTCAGTGTATTACTGTTTTACTTACAGAATAACATATGCAGGAATACAGATTTGTACCATATGACTTATGGTATGATTGAAGTCCACATTATGAAGCATACTGCGTAGTATAAGATACTAGATCTTGGCTTTAAGTCCTGTGGTGAGCTCTTGTCAGTGCTAAACTGGACTGAGTAGATGCAGGCTAAGGGACAAATTACCAGCTTGGCTAGAGGCGGCTTGAGTTCACAGTTTTGGCAAAAATAGAGGCTAAAATTAGATCAGACACATGAACATAGCTAGGTGTTTGGTCAGTTCTTGGGCTACTCTCAGGATAATGCTTAGTGTCTTGTTTAGGATCTACGCAGAACTGGAATCGGGATGATGGCCCTAAATTTTAATTAAAAACGGAGTTGCTTATAACTTGTCATCATCCCAAGACGTTCTGCTCTTATAGTAATCGGCCCATGTAAATGAGTTTGTTTGAATGACTTTCTGACCACTTCTGGACAGTAGGTAGTAATTTAATGCATCTGTAGTAGGGTTGGGACTAAAACCTTTCTTGTGGCCATAACAAAGTTGGACCAGTTGGCAAGCTTTAGCGGACCAATGGTGTCAGGAAACCCTGGTGTGAAGGAAATGGAAGAGTCCTGGCTTTTGGGAAATATTCCCAAATTCACCTGGCATGAGGGTTGTCTCCCTTTCTTTTGCTAGCTGAATAAAAAACCTTCTCTGAACTGTCTGCAGCTCTGTGTGTTTGGTTTTACACTACTTGTCCTTTGCATTTATCTTCCAGGAGTGTTTAGTCCTGAATGTGTACTTCTCTTTCATTTCTGAGACTGGGTTGGGCCTAGTAAAATTGCCTGGCTGTAAATGTGAAAAGGAGCAAATGTCTGTGACCAGATAGTTTATCAGCAGTGTACAGGCTGCCTCCTGAAAGAGGAGTACTTCAAGGTCCACAGAAAATCAGAGTTCAAATGTTGGAAACTTTTCCTGCACCTATCATACACAGACTGGATGATATTTTTTAATAACTTCATGTGGAGATTGCTACTTCATATGACTATAAAAGAATGTCTTCCTTTTAATAACAGAGCATGAGAAATAGTGAAACTGTTCTTAGTCAACTTCACAGTGATTATATGTTTCTTGAAGTTCAGATATGGTGAAATAAAAGAAAGCCATTTTTTTCTCATTGACAATATTGTTTTTCTGAAATCAAAACAAAACCCAAATAAAACTTAATTTTTTTAATGTCTTACAGGATAAGGAAAGATTACTTGCCAGAAAGAAAAAAGACACTTTTGCTTACAGAACAACATTTATTCCATCCATTATCGTTATATTTTGTCCACATACATAATTTCCCATGACTGGTACCGTGCTTTACCCTTGCTTCTCTCAGATGCCTTTCTGGATCTTTCTGTGGGAGGATTTGGACCTTATAAATGGTTTAAAAGTTTTGGGTGTTGCTCCAGTATCTTGGAGAGTTGAATCTGACCTACAGAGTATGAAGTACTTACAGGAAAGGTGCTAGGTTAGAATTAATAATCAATGACATTGTCTCATTGTGAAAATGCTTAATGTGACTATAACTGATGGTGCTGTTAGAGTAGATGAACTTTTAGATACCAAAGTCATGTGTAACTTTTGCATGACAGGCTAAACTGTGATTATGCAATAAACAATTGGATTTTTTCTTGTCTGTAAAGGAAAAATAGTTGCAGAATGCTTGATTAAATGGTATTTTAGCCCATTGTAACTATTATTGTTGAAATCAATACTTGCTTTTTATGATGGGTGCCATTCAGAGCTGGTTTGTCCCCACTGTCCTAGTGCTGCGATAGGGATCTGTAGCTTCAGTATCTGTTGGGCAGAGGTCAAATAAAATGTACTTCAAAGGTTCCACTATTTTCCATGTTACCCATTAACAGTATTAGAGTGATGAGGTTCACCACTTCCTACTTTTTCAGTCCAGAATAAATCATCCTGACTTCTAGCTTGACCATCTCTATAAAAAAAAATTTTACCTTTTGAGGCACCTGAGGTGAGGTTTCCATTTATAGTCCAAGACAATATTAACATAGTACCATAAGCGTGACTCCTCCAGGTAGCAATCACTGCACACTACCTGGAATAATTACCTTCAACGTTGTTGTTGTTGGTTGTTATTTTCATATCGTGTCTTCTTTAGACCCATGGATATGTTATTCAAACCTTAAAGAAATTCTGCAGGATACTGCAAGCAACACTGAAGGTTCTTAGCATCAGGACATCATATATATTTGATCTGCATTTCTCTTGACCAAAGGACTAAATGCTAAATGACAAAATTAAACTTGTTTTTTACATCCATTGTCTTCTTCAGGAATGTGGCTTTCAAAAGCAAACAGATATATGAAAAAATAATTAATTCTGAATAAAATCGATTCTGGGAAACTCTCCATCTTTATAATATACTTCATAGTTTACAAACACACCCATCCACATTCTCATGTGAAACTCAAAAATGCTTTATGTTAAGCTAGAAACTGTCCTTTCTATCGTCTCACCCTCAGTACTATGCCCATCCTGCATGTGGCACTTTGCTGAAGTATTTGCTGTTTACTTTACATACTTATGCTTTGAAAACTTCTCTAAGTATAGATTTGTATTTATCTAGGTAGGTAAATATCTTGTGAGTGACCCTTAGTCCATATTGGTTTATGTTTTCTCTCTAGAGCCTGTGCCAGCCCACGGAGACTGGCAGAATGACATGGACAGCAGCCCTCAAGAACATCACTCCCTAGGGACCAGTCGACTGCTGTATCACATCACGGATGGAGACAATCCTCTTTTGTCACCACGCTGCTCTATCTTTAGCCAAAGTCAGAGATTTAATTTAGATACAGAGTCTGCCCCTTCCCCACCCAGTGCTCAACCCTTCATGATGTAAGAAAATATATTTTAATTCTTACATATTTTGAATAACTTTAGTACAGTCCAAAATCTTTGACTCTTCATGTTTTTTCAGTTGCTGTTATGTCATAAACAAGAAATTTTCGTATTGTAACGTATTTTGACATGGTTAGTTTGCAGTATCAGAAACACTATCTAGCATTTTTTCAGTCATAAGACAGTACAATATTCTTTGAAGACTTTCTTAATTATAGTTAGCGAGGACAGTTTTAAATGTTAGCTAGTAATTAATCTGATGACTGAACATAACATAGAGAGGGCTATCAAGGTATAATACTAAAAATTTGGGGTTTTTAGACAACTCTAATTTGAGTCATTCCCTAGATATGAGTGTCATAGAACATATGAACAGTCTATATATATGTGATCTCTAGAAACCAGGCTGTGAGTTTCAGACAGAAACCAAACTTTCTTAAAAGGTTATATACATAGCTGTCAGCTGCATATGAATAATAATCAGATCTATTGATTTGCAATAGTAAAAAATCAGAAACTAAACTGCCTTCAAATGATAATGTTTATTCCCAGTAATAAGAGATATCCCTGAGCTTACTTTTACAAATCATGTCATTACAGTCTCCCATTATAGTTGGAAGACTCTCAAAGTAAGATGTGGGTGTTAAATGTAAATACTGGATGAGGTTGTGACCTACTAGATTAAACTTTTGAAAAATATTCTGAAATCCCCCAATTAAAAAAGAGAGTGAAAGACAGATTGTGAACCCAGTAGTATACCCTAGGGGTACCTTCAAGCAAAAGCAATTATTTTATGCTTCCTTTGTAAAACTAAGCTGTCTGTGTCCTTGAAAGAACCTGGCTGTAAGTTCTGAAGTGCAAGGAAAGCATTAAGTGTGCCTGAAACAGGGCATGGTCCATTACAGCCAGTTCTTTGATCCAGCTACTCTGTTCTGGGCTTTTGCAGGTCGAGAAGTTCTTCTAGATGTAACTGTGAAGAGTGCAAGGAACCACAAACAGTAACACAACTTACCAAACATCTGCAGAGTCTCAAGAGGAAAATTAGGAAGTATGAAGAAAAGTTTGAGCAAGAAAAAAAATACCTGGTAAGATAATAATTGAAAAGATAAAGGGAAATACCACAAGAGGCAGGCAAGAATCTCAGTGTATTTAAACTTATGCAAAACAATGAGAGAAAGGTTATTTTTGGTAAAATGAAATTAAAAAATCATCAATGAGGGAATATCTTTTTATCATCTTTCAGTGTATGCAGTAGTTCTGAGACTCTAACTTACATTTTCTTTGGATTACCTTGGTTGCAAAATATCCATCTTCTAGATGTGTGAGAAGTGTGAATCAGTGAACCATAGCTGAGAGGCTTGTGAACCAAAATGATTCAAAAGACGAAAACCTGCTTATTTACTTTGTAGAAGTCATTTGCTTGGAAACTGTTGCTCTGCTGAGCAGATTGCTTCATTCAGGCCGACTCCTGTAAACCTCCGAAGCAGAGGGCTCGATAGAGGCTGGTGGCAGAAATTAGGGGACTGAGAATCGTGATGTATTGCTGGTGGGGCATTGATTGAGGTCAATGGTGTGTTCTGTGCGGTGTATGCAAGATCATTGCTCACGTCCAGCTTGTGTAATGTGAATTGTGCAGTATAAACATATCAAAACATCTGTGATGCTAAGGATGTGTACAATATGAAGCAGGGAAGTTTGTGGTATTTTATGACTACATTACAATGAAAATTAAGCAAATTGTATATTACCTTTTAATTTCATCAATGACTGCAAACTTAAACGTACATTTGTGAATTGTACTGCCCTGTGGTCATAATATACTCTTAGGAGTAAAAATTCATACCTAAACAGTCATCACACTGAGACCAGAAAAGAAATTATTTCAGAGGTTTAATTTGAAAAATTGTTTTGCCATTTTAAATATCTGAGTTTTGAAGAACCAGTGTAAATTGATTTTAATTTGAAGGCAATTTCTAAATGCACAGAAAGACTGGTATACAAAGATTTTGCTGTTTTTTGCTTTTGAAATCACTCTGTTGCACAGGATTTTTTCATTTTTATTAAACAGTTCAGTTGAAAATTTTGAAGTGCTGTTTCCCAAGAGAAGTCATTGTCTTAGAGCAGTAAGGGACCTGCAAGGGACAGGGTGCTTCAGTTACTAGCCTAGAAATCACTTAGAAACTTAGCTAACATGAGCTATTTGATCAGTTCTTTTGAAGTCACTGAGATTACTTATCCAATCAGTCAGGGACTTAGATGTTTTTTTTTTTTAGGATCAGAGCCAAAATGCTCAGACCCATGTAGCACTATGCCACAACAGGGAGAGGTAAGTCATGATAAATTAGTACCATGATGAAGCCAAGTGCTCTGCCTGACGCTATGATATAGTGCTGTTGGAACTACGGACATTTTTTAGCACACTGCGTGTGGATAGGTCTTTCTCTGTTTGATTGTATAACCATCAATTCCTTCTGGTTTTATTCTTCCTTTTTTTCTTTACATTCAGCCTTCACATGGTGACAAGACTTCCAACCCTGAAGTTCTGAAATGGATGAATGATCTGGCCAAAGGTCGTAAGCAACTCAAAGGTACATAATAGCATGTCATTTCATTTTATTGCTGAAGCTTTTGGAAGTATGAGTGTACTGGGAATATTTTAGAGTTTGTTGTCTAACCTCAGCGCTCTGACTATTTTTCACAGTGCATGGCAGTAAGTGTCCTAATGACAACAGAGATATTAGGTGATATGACTTATCTCGATTCCTGAAAACAGGGATTAAAGTAAGCCTGTTCAATCCTCATAACGAGGCCAAAAAGGGGAAGGGGAAAAAGACGTCACCTCTTCCTCATCACTATAAACATTCATGCAAAGGCAATGTTATTCTCAATATTTTTGTGAGCGTCTGAAATACAGAACTACAAAATTAAAAGTGTCCTTGTGATAGTACAAATACAGATGCAAAATGTTTCTTTAGGACTGAGGTTACACAGCTCTAAAGCTTTTATTTTTTTGAGTATAAAAACAGAGCTTTCCCTGATACTAGATTTGGTCTAGAGGGTCAAGTTTTGCCCTTGACTGTCTGCATACCACTCCATTAATGTCTATGGGTATATCACATGCTTGCCCTCAGGGACAATGTAGTCAAGACTGACTGATTTTTTTATTTTTATAAAGACTGTTTATATTTTATCTAAATCTTTTTTTCCCTATTACAAATGAATTCTCACTACTAATTAAATTGTAGTATTATCTTTCATCTCTGTTTTGGATATAGTTAAGAATGTATGTATAGAGGGTGTGATCGCGGTAAATAAAAAATTAGAAACTCATCTTTCAGTAAATTTCTTCTGGAAAGTTCTTCCTTAAATAGTATGATGCATGATTACTAGTTTTTTTATTTATTTTTTTTCTCCTTGAACTTTGTGTTGCAAATCCATGAAGGGCAAATGAGAGGAAATGGCCAAACTATACAGTTAACTTTCCAAAAATTATCTCTCTGACTCAATCATTGCCTCAACTAGCCAGGGCGTCTAACTTTCATAGATCAGCCTCACCTTCACACCCAAAATGCCTCTATCCTGTGAACACCCTTGATTTTATTATCCTGAATAATGACACTGCTTTTAAGTGAAGTAAGATTCATGAGGCTCATGAGACAGGCGCAATGAAAATGGAAAAATACTCAAGGGCTCGTAGGACCTTCAAGTTTGTAAGGCTTGTCCATCCTTCCTAGTTCTATGGGATTACTAAAAATTCTTGGTTTTCCCTACAAACCTAGCCTGCATCCTCAGACTGTCATACCTAAAAAATTATGTTACTGCTTCTGCGTGGATTGCAATAAATTTAACACATTTGGAACCATCAGTCTCCTGCCTTGCCCAAGGTCCTTCACCAGTCAGGTATGTGCTAGGAACAAAGTCTGCTTTTACAGGAGCTCGTTCAGACCCTGATTCAATTTTCTTATTGCTCTGTGCAGCTTCCTAGAGCTCCGGGGTATTTGGCTCGGTGTCAAGCTGATACACTTGCATGCTTTATTGTGTCCAGGCAGGATGCAGAGCGGGAAACTAGGACACACTCTACCCTGTGTCTTTTGCTGGGTTGCTCAGGTGCTCTTCTGCCAAGGGAAGTGGCTGATCCTTTTTGTGAAGACCAGCTCAGCAGCCCGGCTGGGATGGCAATGCGGCCTCTGGACGGGAGGGTTAGGGTTTAAATTGCACTAGAGAGGAGCAGGATTGGTTATGCAGACCTGGGGAACGTGGCCCCAGCCGTGTGGCGGGCTCTGTAGTGCAGCTGAGCCTCCCCGGCCCCACTCAGGGATGGGCCTTCGCTCTCCCCCTCCCTTGCGCAGGAGGGCAGGCGAGCACAGCTGGGGTGGGAGTGGGGAGGGTGGCTGCCGAGACATTGCCTCTTGTCCAGGAAGGCATCTGTGAAGGAGCACATCCTTAGACAGCAATCCCCACAGAGGGTTTGGACATGTTCTTACCTGACCAGACATCACATCGACTGAGAGCGCATGGGTTAAGGAGAAGAAGTGGGAGAGAGCTCTTCTTCCGTATCCCTCCCCACAACACCCAAACCTCCCACAAATATTCTCAAGTGCTGTTTGTCCTTTTAAGCCCCTTTCCTAAGCTCACTCCCACTGAAATTCTGCACTGATTCCTACCCAGAATCCTCCCCCGCCTCTCTTTATCCCAGTGCCTCTTCAGTCCTCAACTTTGTGTCAAAGATGGACTTGGAGGAAAAAGAGAAGTACATATATGCTGTAAATTTCATTGGCTTGGACACATCCCATCCCTTGATCACTGGATTTCCCTTTAACCAAGTAAAAGCTGTTATGTGTCGAAATGAAGCAGAGTTACTTTATTACACAACTGTGGTGTGATAATTACTGCATGCAAGAAGTAGGTTTTTTTTCTTGTAGTGTCAGAGGAGACTTCTTTGTAAATATTTCTAATCTACTTACTTGCCAAATAATTTGCCTTTCAGAGCTGAAACTCAAAATGTCAGAAGAGCAAAACTGTACCTCTAGAGCACCCCAAAGAAATGATCATCGTGAAAGCACTGGGACCTCTAAAGAGGCTGGGACACAGGAGGCCACAAGCACAGAACCAGCTCCCTCAGTAGAAGAAACCATGGATAGTGTATTGAGACGATTAAAGGAGAAAAGACAACACTTTAACCTTCCTGAGACTATTAAGGTATTTAACAAGTATGGTTGTTTCTTTCAGAACTGTATCCTCTGAGGCAGATATTAATTAGTGTGTAGCTGTCTCAGGGTATGCTGGTGCATCTGCATCCCATGTCTTCTGGCACTGCCAGTGCATTTTCTCTCTAAAAAGATGGGAGCTGTGAGGTTTTGTCCACAGTGTACTGAAGATGGTGACAGCAAAAGCAATTCTATCTTGAGTCCACGTAAACTGTGTGATTTAAAATGTTCCTGAAGTTATTTGGACAATAAAGGTTCCCTCTCAGCTGAGAAATGCTGAAAGCCTCTGCCCAGTCGACAGCACTGCACTAAGGCCACGTGGATAGCACAACCACCCACACTGCTTTGCCCTTCTGATCTTGTATGTTTGCTTGTCCTGATACTGCCTCTGCACTTCCACGTTCTCAAGTGCTCTTCTAAATGTAGGAGCAGTATTCCATGAAACATGCCTGCTTGGCTGAGCAATTTATTTTTGTTTTTAAACTAGTACATATTTAAAAATTCTGCTGTACCTTCACGCTGCTGGCACATTATAGGATCTGTCTAGCGACTTTGTTCTGCAATACATGTTGCCCATAAATATATAGGCATTTTTGGCTATTTTTGCTGTCAAGTGATGCTATTCCTGATGCTTTGCAGCCAAGCAAGACAATAAATTCCATCCTCAAAGATACCTAAAAATATACATGTTGACAGTGACATTTAGACTCTGGCTGATGAACAAAAAGGGGGAGGGGGTGAGGGGGACAAGGGAGAGTGAAGAAAAACTAAATGCTAAGCTATGCAAGAACTAAGAAATGATTCTGGGTGGATTTCAGTAGCAGAAAGTATCCAGAAGAGATAATTTTTAATTTTTCGTTTTGTTTTGCTTCTATTCTTGGTTCTTAAACAACTAGTTACTGCATAAAAACTAGAACTGTGCGTAAAGATTCCGTGCTTCTGAGATCTTGAGCTCTGCATACATGACTGATTTTTTAATTGTTTCTTTTTATAAACTTCTATTTCAAAACCTGAAATGGAAAAAGTGTTTCATAACCAGAAGTCCTTTGTAAGAAAACAAAAGATGACAACAAACCCATGCTGTTCTGTATATAGTCCTAAAATCCCAATAGTGCAGACTGCATGATAATACTTTCAGTTGTTACATATTCTTTTATTATGCAAGGAGTGAGATCAGATGACACCAAAACAAATGTCAGTGAGGAAATCCTGTCAAGAAAAACACTCTTATAAGACTTAAGTTGGGTGTGGGTCTCTGTCCCACTCATTTTTCAATTAATTAGACTTCTGATTTTCCAAGAAAGAACCTCCTAAATCTGTCCAATGGCAGTGCAATCTTGAAATATTCTTACAAGAGAACTCAGTGATGTAAATTAAATGTTTGCACAAGTTAATATTTTCAATTTTTTAAAAAAAGATCTTATTTATTTTCTTCTTGTATTCTTGTTGAGAGAACTGTTAGCAAAGGTGTTTGATAATAGTTACATGAAACTGCTGTGGAACGGAGACTTGGAAAGGAATAATATGAAGTCAAACTGATCTATTTCAAAATGATATATTTTGGTAGGTCCTTAAGTATAACATTAAAAATGACTGATTTTTGATTATAAGTCATCCTGGACATTTGGGGGAGAATGAGGTTTATAGCACTGGTGATGTGAAATGAATCAAGGATGTCTGCTGGCTACAGCAAAGATCAGTCTTCATTTCAGCTATGTGTGACTTTGGTGTTACTGTAGATATTTTTTATGTGCAACATTTTATTTTGTATATAACAGTTAGAACCTCTACCAGAATCTGAGCTAGATTAAGAGTAAACTAGTAGCAGTTAAATGTTTCTTTTTTCAAGATTTAGTTCTTCTGGGCGAGGATAGCCTTGCTATAAAAGCCTGCCGAGTTCTCCCCTGAAGTTCAGCTGTGGAAAGCCCCTAAGGCCCTGCTGAAATACAGATGAGAGAACACGGGCCCTTAACAGAGGTGCAGAGGAAAATCCTGAACCACCCAGTGTGTCTAAAGAGGACAAACCACAAGATCTGAATATGAAATAGCAGAATGTGGTTTTCAGAACAAAAGACCCCTCCTGCAAAAAAGCCTGTGAGTAAAGTCATTGAATGAGAAGATGTAGAGAAAATTGGGATTGGCCTGTGAATGATTCATTGACCCAAAAAGTGGTGGCCACCTGTTAATTTTTGTGTCACTAGCGCCTTGTGCTGGGAGCTGGTGATTTATTTAACAGTTCACCTCGCTTTTAGGTACAAGGCTTCAGGAAAAAAAAAAAGATTAAAACGATAAATGTAGGACTTCAGTAGCCAAAAGTCAAGTAGACAGAATGTGAACCACACTACTCGAGAAAACACCAAATCCCCAAAACCCAACTCCCGACTTTTAAGCCACCCTGAACGTTTACTGCCCGGGGACGTGGTTGCTGCCTGGGTCGCACCGAGGAGGAGCAGCAGCCCTGTGGTGCTCAGCGGTGCTTCGCCAGCCGGCGCGGCTTTTCACAGCGGGGCTGCAGCCAGGCTGGGCCTGACCCGCAGCCGAGGTGAACCGGCACTGTTCTGTGGATGTCTCACACCGCTTGTGGGCTTCCTTTAATTTTTTTTTCTTCCTGCTTTTTGTGTTCCATGCCGCTCTGCGACAAGCCACCGCGCATCCCCACGTGGCAGCCTCGGTGGGCCCTGGGAGCCCGCACTGGGCGCCCGCGTGGACACAAAATGTTGCCTCTGGGAGTGAGGGTCCTCCACCGGCCCCAGCCCGCACTGTCGCACTGTCTGTCCTCAGAGCCTGCCTTTGCAGCCAGGAAAAACAACAGCGAGCTCAAAAAGCATATAAGCGTTCAGAGGACTAGTGAGGAAGACCACTGCATACACTATTTTGTGTGCCTTTGTCCCAGGTTATGAAAACCAAACTACTACCTTAGCTTTACGTGCAATCTCCTTTTTCTTTCTTTATTTGCAACGACTTTTGCCTTATGTTTAGTTTGAACATTCTGTCCCCCAAGACTTTTCTCAGACTGGTTCCCTTTGTGTATCTGTCCTCTCATTATTGACCCGCTTCAGTCCATCTTTTCCTTGGCAGTGAAGCAGTGTTTTTATTTAATTAACATTGAATTTTGTGCTGCTGTATTCAGCCTACAGTCCTAAGATGTCTCATACAATTCTGTATTTTGATTCCACCTCCCTTCTCAGATTTTGAAGTTATCACCCATTTCAAACTCAGCTGAACACAAGCCCATCTTGAGATTGCTAATAAAATGAGCTAATGAAATAGGCGCACATGCTAAACCCTCTTGAGATTGTTCCTCATGTGTAAAATCAATATTAATGATCACCCCCTGTTTCCTCCTAACCATTCAGCTGCTCCAGGCTTAATAGTTTTTGAAAGAATTAATCTTGTATTAATTGTAGAACTAGCAATAAATAAACAAATTAGCTACTTTATAATACTGCTGCATTCTAGTTAGCAGCTCTTCCCTTAATGTGAATGACAGATAATTTTGGAGTGATTAACTCAGACCTTTAAGGCAAAATGTGATTAGCGGTTCTGCGCTGTTTTTGTATTTGGCAGCAAACAAAAAAGCTTTTGCTCCTGCTGAAGTTAATAGCGAGTCACTCTGATATTAGAAGAGCATTAGTTCCTCAGGGCTTCATGTATTTTTGAAAAGTAGAGGCTGATTATTAAAAATACTTCTCCAAGCTGTCAATAAAGAAACCTAGTCATTGGCTTTCTGCAGAAGGACCCTGCCCCTTCCACCATTCTTCACATTAATTCACTGTGCAGGATGAGCTCTCCTCCAAACTGCCGAACGCTTGGCCCGACTTCATACAGATCTGTCGTGATCTGGCAGAGAATTTGGAAAATGGCAGTTGCTTCACCTGCTCCTTACTGTTCTGACCCAGATGAAAATATGCAAGTGTCAAGAGCAGATCTTCTTGGGAAGAAGGAGGGGAGGAGAGAAACACCCGTTAAACTGTGTGCTCCCTGCAGCAGACACCTGTAGATATACCGGTACACCACCAACCCTGACAAACCTCATTGCTGAAAAATCAGCATTCTTATTTCTGGTACCTGTGATTCACAGTGTGATTTCTGAACAGAAACAAACTGCTAGTGTCGGGCGTTCGGCCCCGAAGGGCAGGAACTGTGGCTGCGGAAGGAAGCCCACCTCTGTTCCCACTGTCACTAAAGGGCGGCTCTTTCTGCAGCCTCCCCATAGCGGTTCTGCAGATGCACGCTGTCCAGGTGCAATTTCCTGCGGGCTGATCAGATTAGTTTTCCATTTCATTTTAGAGAGCGCACCTTTTTCTAGCAGGCTCGGCATTTATCTGCCTTGGACAGACAAAGTAAACACAGGGTATTTTCCACTGGTAAAGGCCTAACCTAGAGCTTACCCTAATCAGTAGAAGTATCTCCACAGCTCTCATCAGCTTTGCGTTTGGCCTTAAGGGGGTAACATGTGCTTTGATTCATTTAAAACTTCAGTCATGTAAATTTGGACTCTGTTCTTGCTAAGCTAATGCCAAGTCCCCACTGACCTCAGTGTGGACAGAAACAGAATTCGTTATTAACATTTATCTGGGGAGAATAGATTATTAAACAGATCTGTACCTGTACCTTTGTCATGAAATCCTGACTCATAATCTTATAAATAACTTTTTTAAATAGGATATGACAAAAAAGCAAATGGCTTTGGAAAAAATCAATCTTCAGAAATGTCTACTATATTTTGAGAGTATTCATGGACAACCTGTAAGTATACCATGGAAAGATAGGTAAAATAAAAATTATTTAACTTCTCTAACAAATATTTTTGGACTCATAGATTAAATACATTTAGATGAATTTTACATGATTAATGTAATTTTAGTTATTTGAAACTAATCTTCAGGTATAAATGTTAGTGCCTGATACTGATGAATTTGGTTTACATTTAAAAAAAAAAAAAAAAAAGAGAAAAAAAGACAAATTTCTAGTGGCCCCGTATCTCTCCTCATGATTGAAAGTTGCAGGTTTTGATGATAAAGGTGGAAGATTATATATCCACAGCAGACTTGGCTCATGCAGACTGTAGCGGTGCTACAATGTATGAAAGGTTAGAACAGAGGCTGAGAAAGGTTTATAGGGCACCATCTGAGACATGGACTGCAAAAACGGCATGACCTGTCATCTGTGTTTTCCTTTATCTCACAGCAGCACTTAAAACTATTCATTAAAGTCCTTTCAAGGGGCTTCATTGCTGTATGTAGGTGCAAAACAAAAAAACTGCCACCCTTGGTGAGATGATGATTTGAGAGTTTCTCTATACACAACTGAGGAATTCCTGTTTAATGTCTGTATCTGTATTCTGATCACTGTCTCTGTTTCGGACTACTAATTGTGGCAGAGGAAAAGGGGTGTGGTATCAGCATGTGTCTAAAAATAGGCCAGCCGTTAAAATCATTGTGATCTCTACCTGATCTCTTGGCATTTTGGATAACATCATTTTTGTCCATCTTCTTTGGGCTTGGAGTGAGAGATGAGGAATGGAGAGAATATATAGGAAAGGTATGAAGAAATTATATTTCCTAAGAAGAAGAACAAAAAATAAATGGAGTTATTAGTACTATATAGAGGTAAAAGAGACCTGAAGGTTCAAAGATAGAAAATAGAATAAGAGAGTATGTTTTGTAGCACGAGGTTCAGAGAGGGTGTTTCTTCTCAAGGTTGAAGCAGCTCTGTAACCAGCTAAGCAAGAAGATGCTAACTGCATAAGGAAAGAGTTGATCGGTGATACTAAGCCGCTATGAGGGAACGCTAGGTCTCACAAACAGCTCTGACTTAAAGTCACAGAAAGCACAGAGACAGTCAAGAATTTAAAGCAGGAAAATGGAAGTTAGGCAAGATTTTACAACTTTTTTTTGTTGCTGAAAATAAACAAACAGCCTGGATGCGCTCCACACAGTTAGAGTTGCATACTTAAATAATCCTGTCTCTTAGAGAAGCAGATTTTAACCTCTGTATCTATACCCGTGTATTTTCTGGAGGGAAAGGGGTGAAGAGCCTGCATGCTTCCTGGGCAGCAAGAACAGCGGGAGAGCGAGGCCAGCGAGGCCGGGGGAGCTCCCGCCGCTTGGAACAGCCGGGGCGTGACGAGGCCGAGAAGGCAAATCAGCCACTATCCGGGCAGGGGCACGCTGGTGACATTAGCTAACAAAACAGGAGCTTCTCTGCTATCAAAGACATTTGCCAGTGTAGAAAATGGATTTTCACAATACTTGAACGTTGATTGCTGAAGCCTCAAGATTCTCTGCTTTAGGCGTTTGAACTTAGCAAGCCATGACATGCTTTGTCATTTAACAAATATCACACCATTGCATTATCAAAAGCTTGATCTGAATAGAGTGTACGAGGGTTCCAAGAAAATAATCAGGAATTGAGCCTACTATGCAGAAAATTTGGTGGTTTGTTGCGTTTGCTGTGGTTTTTGTTGTTGTTTTTTGGTGTTTGGTTTGTTTGTTTGTTTGTTTTTTTGTTTGTTTGTTTGTTTTTAAGCAAATAGCAAAATTCAGTGCTAGACAATGTCACAGGTATTGTAGAAACCTCGTTTGGGAGTACCAAAGAGGGAATCCATCAGAAAAAAATCATCAAGTTGCTGCATATTCAGAGTATTATGACTACAGCAGCCTTAAAACACAGCAGAGAGTGCTCGTGATGATGTTTGCCCTGCTGATGTATAGTATGGATGAGCAATAGCTTTATCCAGACTTACCTGAGCAAAGTCAGACAGAGGGGGCAATGACTAGGTTTAAAACAAAAAAGGTAGCTATTCTGGCTTGTTGGCATTTCCTGGCGCTCTTACGTGTTGCAATCAAGTGGGACATGAAGACTGGGGAAGAGGAGTAGCTGGGATAGGCAAGCCCTGATGTTCTGCACCGAAGCGTGCCTCTGAAACAGTCTCTACCTCCACAATCAGCCAGACAGATGCGGTGTCATCAACCTGCATTTGCCTGCTGTCACCCCCACTCCTGCTGACCAGGCATTTGTCCGTTTCTGAGCAACTCTGGACTCTTGTCCATGTCGTCAGCCAGTCTGTGGCTCTTCAAACCTGCCAAGTGTTCTCTCACCTGGGTGTGTGGCGCTGGGCTTCCACGCAGCAGCGCAGCCGCAGTGCCAAAAGACAGTGAAACTGTACCCAGTGAGCGCTGACAGGCATGTGAGCTGAGCAGCAGAGGCTGGTGGTGGACTAGTTTGCAAATGACCCTGTTTTGACATTTATTCACTGAGGAACAAGTTGTTTATCTGTTTTTGTGGGGGTTTTTTTGTTTGTTTGTTTGTTTGTTTGTTTGTTTTTCCTTTTTCTTTTCTTTGTGGGATTTGCTCTGTTTTTCCTTAACACAGTAAGTCAGTCTACTGCATGGATAGTTTCCATAAGGTTTCTTTTTTGTATTTATAAACATTTGTGGCTGGATCAGGCTCTTAACACCTGATTGAGAATAGTATTTTCCTCGTGCTCATAACAGTGCAAGAGCAAACTAAACGAACAGACGTTTAATCCCAGGGGCTGTGGGGCTGTGCACACTCGTGTGGGGCCGCTGAGTGCCGTGTCCCAGGCAGACTGCCACGGCACTGCAGCTAGCCTGCAGCCACTGTTACAGTGAAGTGAGGGAGGTATCAGGGTGACGCACAGCAGGAGCACACCTTAACTCATACAACTCTACTGGCATCTTCAGATGCGGCTCAAGGAAGTGAGGAATCCACATTGGTTATTTTCCATTAGAAAACAGATTGCCATTTTCTTATTAGAAATTGCATAGATTAAATTACAGTTCCCATGAAATATCTATGGAAGCAAAATACACATCAGCTCATATTCTACTAATACCTATCTCAGCTTTACAGGAGCAAATGAGAAGTTGGGTTTTTTTTAATTGTTTTTAATTTTTGAGGAGTATATTTTTATATTATTTCTCTTTAGGTAACTAAGCAAGAAAAGAGTCTCATGAAACCTCTTTACGACAGATACAGGATTATTAAGAAACTTCTCGCAACTCCATCTTTGATCACAACGATTGTAAGTTGGAAAGAATTCATGTTCATTGTCAAGAAAACATATTCAATGCTATGTTTGATTTGCACCTGCATGTCAGTTCGGCAGCAATAGGACTACCAATATTTGAAGAATCTGCTCACCGGTTAATACAGGGTGCTGGTATTTCAAACAGAGCAAATGCTCTGTAAAATTCAACTTCTAAGCATCCCAGAGGTTGCAGCGTACGGCAGTGTTTTCTGAGGCAATCGTTTCAAACGCCTGGTTAAGAGATCACGGGCTGGCATTAATTTTCTATTATGACTAACACACGTAACAGAGAAAGAGACTCTCTCTCCATGAAGCACTACAGTGTCACTGTAGTTACCTTCTATATTTTATTGATAAAGGTTTATCAATCATGTAGCACATAAATATCATCTGTAGTACTTTAATAACATGTCGATGTAATGTAACAGTACTGGTCTCACTGTGAGTAGAGGTAGTGGAATCTGGCTATTTGGAAGTTCATTAGCATGTCACTATCAAAAATACTAATCTTAATAGTCATTGGGGCTGGGTTGATTTTAAAAGTTATGAAATATTGCCTTGTTAGATGACAGTGGAGCTTTAGATTTCTTTGAAAAATCCCAGTGTAAATCTTTGTACACATGCACACAGATAAGTTATTTAAAAATTTAACTGAAGTTCCCTTGTGTTACTTAGGAGTTTTTATGTTTAAGCCTTAGTTTCAAAGCTCAGGTTTTCTTCTGTGGATGAAGGAGTGTGAGAGAGTGACATCACTGTTTTGGTAGTTAACAATTGTAGCTATAAAACTGTGGAATTGCTACCTCCAACTCATTACAGTCAGAATTTCTGGACATAATACAGCAGTAGATGCGACAGAAGCGGAGTACAAGTTTCAGCAAGACTATGCTGCTTACACAAATACAGAATGTTCTTTAAATCTTTGTTACTTATAAAGGTCTTTGAGTAAACAGACGTAAATTGCTGGCTGGAGATACTCAGAAGCCGGGCCGACTTCTGTCCTGTTTAGTCACGGTGGACAATACTCAGTAACTTAGTGAGCCCCACGAGAGGGCTCAGGAACAATCTCGGGTAGACCTGGGTAAAGCTTTCAATACATGTAATTATTTCAGTGAATACATCCAGGAAGGTAGATCCAAATTATTTACATTGTCATCCTATTAATTGTTAATATTGTAGTGTAAACAACTAATTCAATAGTGCTTTACTTTTTAAAAGCAGGAGGAGGAAGACTCAGATGAAGACCATTCTCAAAGCAGCCATGAGTTATCATCTGGTCCGATATCTTGCCTCCCTGTCGATGAGCACCTGTGTTACTCTCAGGCGGAGAGTGAGCCTGCATATGTTTCACCTCTGGATGAAAAGAAAGTTTTCAGGCAAACAGCCTTGTCTATGTCCAATTTACATGAGGCAACAATGTAAGTTCTGTCTTGTTTTTTGTTTTTGTTTTGTTTTTTTCCTCAAATGTTTTAAAATATTTCATGGAGACTTTGTAAATGAAACACAATCCATGCTTACTGCATGGGAATATTCTATATCAAAGAAGTGATTCAGTGTTTTTTTATGGGAGAAAAGACACAGAGGACAGTTTGTTTTGGCAGCATACCTGTGGTTTGAGCCATTTACTCAAACAACTTTGTGCCAAGTCCATGAAAAGTGAGGGAATGTAAGCAGACAGGAGAAATAAGTACATATACAGAGCGGTAGATGCAGCATAATGGCATCGTAAAGATATGTGGACCTACCTATAATTGATGCAGAATTTTTAGATATCTAATTACGTATGTTCTTGCAAAGCAGTCACAAAAGAAAGCACAGTTTAGCCAAGCAGGGTAGTCTCCTCCTCTGAGTGTGGGGGTGTGTGTGTGCACGTGTGTGTGTCCCAGGACTGAGTGAGTGATGTAAAACTGCCAGAGACATGAGGCAGATGAGCAGCCCCGGGGAGCTGAGTGAAGGAGCACGCAGTACATGGTCACGTGGGGGGTCACCGAATGTTTGTACGCTCAAGTTCTTCCTTGCGTAAGAATAGTTAGTAGTCTTTGGGCGCCTGCAAAACTTGCCACCACCCTCCGTTATAAAACCAGAATAAAGCCCTCTTCCTGATTTGTCGTTAAGAATTTCAGGGTGCATGAGACAACAAAGCTCAAGATGCACATGGAGCTGTTATCACAGCCCTGAAACCTGTTGAGGAATATGCCTTCCAGGAACAATGTGTTCCCATAGCTTATGGGATGGTATCTTTTTCTTCTGTTTTGAGTGGGCGCTTTTAGATGCATAAATGAAGTTGACTAGGCTCTACCAAAACTGAGAGTAAATAAAAATGTCTTGATTTTCTATGTTACTCGATGATGTACACAATAATTTGGTCACAAATGCTGTGAAGATACTTCTGTGCATTTTGTTATCATGGAAAAAAAATACCAGCTGCATATTATCTCTGTTTCACAGGCCCGTTCTGCTTGAACATCTCAGAGAAACAAGAGCAGATAAGAAAAGGCTCCGTAAAGCTCTGAGAGAGTTTGAGGAACAATTCTACAAACAGACGGGAAGGTAAATAACTGGCTCACCAAAAGCCCTCTGCTTCTCCCCTTTGGGGCCCTATGCAGGCGTGTTTGCTTCTGCTAGGGTGGGTACTCCTGGGCGAGGGGGCCGAAGCAGCTGCAGCTAGGGCCTGGAAGATACCATGGGGGTGTCTGGTGCCCGTGGAGACGTCCATCTCCCTGCTTAGTACCTCGGGGATGGAGTGGATCTGCGGAGCTTCCAGGACATGCCTGAGATGGGTATAAACCCCTCCCCAGCACAGCTGAGGGGAGGATGCTAAAGGGTCTGTCTGAGGATGTCGAGCTGCAGGGATTATACTTGGCAGTTGGGCCACTTTTAGACAGATTTAAAAGCAGAAGCCACTGTTCCTTCACCCGCAGATGAATACTGCCTACTTTTCACTCTTTGTTTATCCTCCTCCCTTCTTTTAGCAAATGTGTTTGCTGAAAACCATGGAGGAAACGGGCATGTAGTATTCTGTTAACAGTTTTCAAAGCACTATGTAATAACTTCTCTGCATATTTGAGAATGAGGTAGTTATGCTTGCATAGCTGACAAGAAAGGAAATCACCTGATAGATGAAAATTCAGTCATTTAAATACAATTATTTCATTTCTGTCCATTAGAGCTTTTTTGGTCCTGGCAAATTATCTTTAGTCATCTACAGTTGGGAAAAAAAAATAATAATCTAACCCAATCCTCGTTAGTTGTTACAGAATTAATTTTAAAGACTGTTTCTCCTCTTAGTCATAAAAGTGATGGCAGTTTCATTTGCTTTTTGTAGGAGTCCTCAAAAAGAAGATCGGGTGCCAATGGCTGAGGAATACTCTGAATACAAGCACACTAAAGCCAAAATCAGGCTCTTGGAGGTTCTCATCAGTAAGCATGATGTTTCCAAAACGATTTGAAGCAAATGCAATGCCGTGATATTGTTCTCTAGCAAAAAAAAAAAAAAAAAAAAAACAACCCAAGAAAACAAGTAATGAAAAAGGAAGTAGTATTACAGGTCTTGGTCTGCTGCATAATTATTCAACACACTGAGATGTTTGATGCACTTTACCAATTATACTAGCTGGGATGAGAGAGGACAGCAATATGCAAGAATATTAAGCATGGGTGAGTGGACTATAGTATATATTTTTTCCTTCTGAAAAAGCCTTGAAGTGCACTGTGAGAATGTTAGAGATTAAAAGAACACTGAAGTATTGTAGATCCTTAGTTTGACCTGCTCTTAGTTTTAAAAAGTGTGAGGAAATGGCATCCAGGTTTTTAGTACATCTTAGTACATGATAACATACCACACATTTCTTTCCAGAATTAACATGCACTACAATTGACTATTAAGGTCAGTTCTCAATGTGCTGATTCACTAGATTAAAAAACAAAACAAAACAAAACAAAACAAAAAACAAAAAGAAACGAGCTTAAAACAAATGATGTAAAAAGTCATGACCGTACTCTAACTATCTTTCAAGACAGAGTTGCCATTCAATTCCAGTAGCTTCAAAGAAAGGTGCATAGAAAGAATCAGTGCCAGGATTTGGTCTAAATTTCTGGGAATAGAGCAAAGTGATGCTGCCTATGCAAAAAAAAAAAAAAAAAAAAAAAAAAGGAAGCTGGAACATGACTGCCAAATGGAACTATTGTGGGGTTTTTTTGTTTTATTTTTTTTTTAGAAATAAGAGAAAGTGTTTGCTAAAACAGGATAGATACAGTTTACTGTATACTGGCTGCTGTCCTTTTCACTAGGGTTCACAGGACCTGGCTCATGGTACTTAAAAAAATCAGTAAATAGATCAACTATGTGCTAATTTTAATTTCTGTATTAAACTTTGCACTTTATTTTGCCTGACACTATAACATTTGCTTTCCTAAGTACCAAAGCTCGTTTAGACGCATGCACCTTGTAAAATGTCAAAGTATTTCTTGTGTTATAAATTTCCACATATATATATTAAAACAAGACTAGATTATTGCATTATGCTAAGATATTTTGGATAGATAAAGTACGTGGTATATAATTGAGTGTCACAGTTATCTGATGAGGAACGCTAGACTTCTTGTTTACTGAAAATAAGAATATAAAGAAGTTATTTTTCCATTGGAATTATGCATCTTTCTTAAATTGCAGAGCACCACACTTTGTAATATTAAGGAGATTTTTTTCACTATTTGTGATAGACCATTTGTGTGAAAAGTGAACTGTTAACAGACGGTTTATCAGTAGGTTTTGTACTAGAGGTGAAAAGCAGGGATTCTGGGAAATACTTAGCCCAGACATAAAGGAAGGAAGAATTTTTTAAAAAAGGGGACTTGAATAAGTTGGATCATGTTTAGTGTTTTACTTTAACTGTCATTTTGTATTGACCACATAGTATAAGCAACCTGTTTTCTATCTTGGTAATAAGATTTTCATTTTATAAAGCCTATTATGTACCAACCATGTTTGTATTTATATTGTATGTAATGGCTCGGCATGATTTTGAAGACGTACACATTTTCAAGTAGTTTGGAGGAAAGAGTATGAACACTAAAAAAGGAATTTTTTTTATTTCTCAGAGGATTGTTGTTTCAGTGTACTGACTTAATACTTTATAACTTAACTTTTATGAATCAGAAATGGTTTCCTTCGTAAATCTGTTTTAATTAAAGTAATCTAGAGCAACAGGAACAGATACAGAGCTATTTGATGTTTACAAACTACATCTTTGATAAGGGAAAATGATTTCATGACGTATGTATACAATTGATATTAAAATGTAATCTATATATTCTATATGATTGTATAATATTTTATACAACAGTACAAATAAAATATTTTTCTATTATATTTATTATGTCAAGACACAGTTTCTGTTTTCAGTTAGCTAATATAAATAACATAAATAACACTGTCAAACAACACGTTGGAAGTGCTGACGTTTCTAGGCTCTGAAATTTAAATCATGCTGCAATTACAACCTTTCATGCTGTTTGGAGTTATCCCAGTATTTGTTCAGTAGTTAAAATGAATGCGTATATTTAAACACCATTTATAAGCCGTTATTTTTATTTTGCTAAAGCAGTTTATATAGGATTTTGTTATGTTTGGCAAAAAACAGAAAACAATTTTTGCAGCATCTAGGTATAAATGGTTGCCAGAAAGAAATCCAGGACTTCTAATCATTTAAAGCATCGGGGGAACAGAAGGGAAAGGGGGAGAGAAGAAGTACTAAAAACGCTACTGGAGATTTTGAAGACTCGTGTTTGCTTTTGGTGACAGCGGCATGTGCATGCTTCTGACAAAAACGTCTGACTATGGAAATGGGCAACAGAGGTTTGAAGGCTCCTAAGTAACGAGGGAAGTTTTAACGTCCAACACTGATATTGCAGGTCTTGCAGCTGGGATCTTTCTTTGCGTTTGCAGTAGACAAGCTCATTAGTTGGTGACCAGTAATTTCCGCGACTGTGCCGAGGGAGAGATCCACAGGATCAGTGTAAATTACTTCCAAAATAACATCCTGGGCATGATGGTAAACCATGACACCATCTTCTTCGTCGCAGGTCAGAAATTTATTATCTTTTATATTTAGTTGAGGAAGACGCTGCTTACAGAATTCGTCTCCTGGGGATCCAACAGGGGCGATGACGAGAATGACGTAGTGGTAGGCTGTGTACATGCAGTAGAAGTCTCCAAAGTACAAGTTAGTGTTTGGGTTGAAGAGTTTTTCAGCTGCAATCTCAAACCTGTATCTTCCATAAGGTGAATCTTGTGGTGGCTTCCCAGTGTTAAACTCGGTGTTGCAGCTGAAGAAGATGCCTTCCAGCTTCCCGCTGATCGGAGAGCCGTGGCTGCCGCTGTTATCCTTAACAGAGGGCTGCATAGCATTCCCGTGATGCTCTCTACAAACGAATGACTGGCATTGTTTATTTTGGAACACATGTTAAAGAAAAAGTGGGAAGCTAGGAGGTCATGCTGTTTGGTAACAGTACTGGAGGGACAACAAAGGAAAACCGTTCAACTGAAAACTGTGGTTCGCGTCATGATCTTAGGACCGAGAAAATCGAGTGATGCCAGGCTGAGAAAGAGCTGGAAAAACTCCTGCTCAAGGGAAAAATCTGCTTCTCCAGTCTGGCTTCTCTGTCAGCTGTGAGCTGTGTGGGAATTATATGCAGGCAAAGAATAGCACAAACAAAAGAGCCCCCAAACCACCAATATCTTTAATTAGCTGATTTGTTCAGCTTTCCACTACAATTCTAACAATAGACACATTTTAGTTTAATCACATGATGAAAATTGCAAGTCAGTCTCAATATGCTGAATATACTGTTTGTTAACGTGTATTTCTAGCATAAGCAGTATATATTTCACGTAGAAAACTAGCAGTGAAAGTTACTTCTGAACAATGTTTTTCAGAGAGCTTATAGGAAGGAATGTGCTGTCTGCCATAGGTTTTTTTTTCCCCCCAAATTATAATTTTGGGTCTAATTTGTCTACTGCTGACTTCAGTCAGAGCTGAGCTGGGCACAGAGCATTAGGCAATTCAGTTGGTATCCAGCTTCTGCAGTCACTAGTCCGAGGGAGAAAAAATGTACAAGGCTAACTTTTTTTTTTTTTTTTTTGCAAGCTGAGATCAATTTGGTTCCAGTGAAAAGAAACATTCAATGTACCAAGTGAATTTTTAAAACCCTAAATCCCAAATTGCACTCAGCAGCTTTAGGCTGCTAAATTTAGGAGAACAGTCAATACCACCCCATCTAATCCTCCTTAGCACCTGGGATTTTACATATAGCAGGCCCTTCCCCAGAACTCATGTCCCACAGCTCTCTGGAAGTGCTGTGGTGACAGCTTTGGTGCACTCTGCGCCTGCAACCATGTGATACCAAAAAGGGAAACATTCCCTTTTTTAAGTCAGTCCTGCAAAACACAAGATTTACTAGGCACCCTTAAACGATGCCTTCAGACACAGATTAAAAGCGCATGAGGCTGTGGGGCTGAAGAGTCTTACCTCCCCCTCTTGCTTTACTTTTTACTCTTTTCTCGTTTTTTCCTTCTTTCCTTCTTTTTTTTTTTTTTTTTTTTTTTTTTTTTTTTTGAGGAGAGGGGAAACTAGCCAAGAAAGACTGTTCTCTCTCTGCTTTTAACTTGCAACAGCTCCAGGTAAAATGGTGCTGAGTGAGAGAGGGTTTTAGTTGGTTAAAGCAGGAGGTAGCAGTTGAAGCAACCAAATTCAGTGTATAAATACAAAACAGCTCTAAATCAACTCAGTAATGTCTCCAACTATGATTTTTGTTTTCATTATTTCTGATCGCCTCAGCAGCATATCCTAATTTCACTCTAAGATACATTTCAAAAGTTTTCTGGGCCACTCAAATACTACATAGTTATTGTCTCAAGCCATTGAGTGGGATGGGGAGGTACAATTAGTATTTTATGACTGAAGCGATTATTAGGGAGAAAAAAAAATCAGCTTGACTAACCACCGACTGCAACCTGAGAAGCCAGGCTTCTGGCAGTTCCATTGCTGTGGCAAGATAGTGACATCCAGTGGCCAATTAGGCTAATTATAGGTCAACTCTTCCTGGGGAGCTGAGCTGCTTCACGGCGCTCCCAGCCGAGGTAAGCAGCAGAGTGCCATGAGCACTGCTTACAAGCTCACACTTCAAACCCTGCATTGAGGGGTTCCTGCTCTGGCACCGTGACAGCTGCATGTTTGCCAGTGCTAGCAGAGCTCTGTGCTTTTCCAAGCTTGTTCACTAGTTATGACACCACAGAGGCCATTGGCAGCATGGTATGACAAGGAATTCTGCCTAAAAGGAAGCATTTGGTTAGGGTTTGTAACGTAATACTCAGAAGGGTGTAGTGTGGCAAGACAAGCCCTTGTGACCATATTAGTACATTTCTGATCAGAAAAGGCGACCATCAGACAGTTACAGGTAGTGTAGCTTCATACTGACCTAGGAAAACACAGCTTTTTGTCTCTAACTCACTAACAGACAGGAAAACAAACTTGTCTCTATTTGTATCAAACCAAGAAAGAACATAAGAGGAGGGGAGGGGAAAAGGTACAGTGCAATCAATTAGAGTCTCATTTGGCAGAACAAGGCCAAAACCACAGCTATGAAATGCACCTCAGTGGGAATTGGCAAAGCTCTGTGAACACAAAGGCAGGTGCACTATGATTATATAGCTGGAAACAAAGCTCTGTGAGAACCAGAACCACCACAGGCACTTCACTTCTGTGGTACCTAGTCCAAGATGGCAACAGAGATTTACGAGGTCCTCAAAATGCCTCAACAACTGCAACTCATTCTCTACCTCCATTGAGTTTTGCAGCTTGCTCACTATGTGCAATAAAATAATTCTCCCAAAGGACAGAGAGGAAAGAGCAAACCCCATGCTCTGGAATATACAAGACACTCCTGGAATGAGGCAGATACTCATGACTACAAAGGGGGAACAGTTCCAAGGGTGGTGGAGTCTGCTCTTTGGAGTCGGAGCCTCTTGAGTATTTTTTTTCCTCATCAGTTTTAAAAAACTTTCAGTTCTAGACAGGTACTCGTGTGACATCCACCTAAAACTGGAATTATGTGGTACAGCAGCAGCCCTATCTCAGTGCACACTAAAGCAGCACAGCCTGTGCCCCCACCCTTCTGACAGTGCTGAGACAGATGCCGACACACCGCTTACCTCTCAGCCGTGTTCTTCTAACAGGGGAAGGTTATCTCTGCATGGTAGCTGCTCCTGCTCAGTCAGAACATGAGCTTTCACTCCTTCTACTGAAGAATCGTCTTCTATTGTAACAACGTTTCAGGTTGCGTGTGCAAAGGCACACAGGGTCTCCCACAGGAATAAGGAACCTACCTCCAGCTATCCCATTTCTTCACTCCAGCTGAAGCACAGTGTTGTAAAATTGTCTAAACATCATCCCCTCTCTCTCCTCACATGATCTGTAAATTAACATTTGGATTGCAGAGCCCCAATTACTACTATCCCTACTATGGGATGATTGCACGTGGAGAGCAAATACTTGAGATGGAACTCTTATATGCAGGTAAACGCCTATGCCCACAGCTGTGCACTCCTACTATTAGACATCTCACTCTGAGCTTCTCAGTACAATAGAAATATTTGGCTACTAAACACTCCATTATGACAACAGACACTTTGCAATCAGGCTGGAGACCCTGTCAGTACTTCAGTTTCTCCTTCAAAATGTAAACTTTTACTGCCTAATGGAAGTGATGAGTTAAGCAAGGTGAAAGAAATTAGTTATATTTTATTTTTTCCCTTCTTCTGAACTGGCAAAAAACCCCATACAGTCATTCTGCTCTAGCTCTCTCACAGATGCCTCCATTTACTTATTTTCATTGCTCCCTTAATTTGCCAAACAATTTTGCATATGTTTACTTTCTTACCTGCTATAATCGAAGTATTCTTTGTGCTGATTCCGATAAAAAACAGACAGTTTAAGCATACGGCCTGCAATCACTTCAGCTTTTTCCAATAGCTGTGTTAGGTGAACTTTTGAATAATCTGGAAAGAAAAGACAATCTGCTAGTATGAGGGGCAGGAAAAAACACAATACTCTCCAAAAGCTACCCAGCTGTGCAGACTTAAAATTGGGAACAGAGACTCAGTAACATACCTCACACCACACAGCAACTAGACAGAACTATATAGCCCAGCACCAGCTTCTAACAGTGCCAACAGACAAATGGCAGGAACATGCATGTTTGATTCTCCCCACTCCTTTCCCCACAAATCCTCTGCAAGCTTACAACAACTTTCAGCTCAGGTTTTCCTGTGTTAGAGCTGGTTCCCCTTGTATTCGGGACTGCAGAGGAGCAGAGAACTGCCCTTGCTGGCTTCCGCCATTTCATAAACTCTCTGCTACAACGTATGTGGTTCAATCCACGTAACTGAAAAAGCTTGCTCAGGACCCAGCCTAAATGGCATTTCACCCAACATGGGATTCACAGAGGGCTCGCTTCAGCACTCAGCTTTCACACAGGCAAGCACACTGGCACTAGGTGATGAACACCCAAAGGAAGAGACTTACAAATCACGGACAGGCTCAACTGCCCCTCGAGACAGGGGGGTGGTGGTGCTCAGGCTTCGCAGCGTGCAGAGAAGGGAGAGCAGCAGAATGTCTTAAGCAAGCTGCCACTCTGCCTTTTCTCTACAGGTGCTAGTAGCCAGCAACAGGCGCGCAAGTGGCCCTGCTCCACCTCGGCTCTCCAGTTTCCTAGCCTGGGACAAGCAGTGGTGCCCTGGGAACAGCACTTTGGGGCAGCTAAATATTGCTGAACAAAGGGGCAGTCCGGCTGCCTCTCATTAACGTGCCAAACCTGAGCACATACAAAGCCTAAAGATAGGATTCCAGTTTCCAGGTGTGACTATTGTAACGCTACCAGCCTAGCTGGCACTGGTAGATGGCTACTCCACTCAGGCAGCACTGATTGCATTAATCGCACACATCCTGTGTGCGTGTTTCCTCAGCTGCATTACCTGCTGTGCAAAACTCGATGATTTCACTCCACTCAGAAACAACATAATCACCATCAACTTGCTTTGACGCTGTCTGCACTGCTACTGTGTATTCTGTTCTTGGGCTCAAGAACCAGTGCCCGCGGACTGTCATAGGCAAAGGAACAGCTTTGGCCACCAATTTAGTGGGTACATCCTGATGGAAACAAAAAGACACAACACCACACAACTCAGCAGTGCAACCAAACCAATCCGGCACCCCTTTCTTCATTGTTTTTGCAATGTAATCCCCAGCCCCTGGCTCTTCTGTGTAAGCTTTAGTTACTTCTCAGAGCCCATCGGCGCAGCAAAGTTAACAGGGTGGCCGAGGACAATGGTGTAAGCTTTGCTTTAAGAGCTACGGTGATAACTTGCATGTATGAGTTTATTATTGGTTACAAGTGCCTATAGACCGATACTATTATATGTAGTCCAAATATATAATTCAGACTAGGGACATTTGTGCCTAAGTAAGTACGCAAACAGAGAAAGACATGTTACTGAATACAAGGTTGTCTTAATAGCTTCTTGTGTTCTCATGGCCGTTGTTTTCTGTCAGTCAGCGTAACCAAACAAAATTCCTCCTGCCATCAATCAGTCCACCTACATTGCTGTTGATAACCTTCCAAGCCAAACTTCAACAGAGAAAATTAAATATGTTGCAGAGTAACTTTGTGTGCTTTACATGTATCAAAATGCCCTTATGTACAGGAAGAGCCAGAAGGCAAACATACAGTCAGATTGCCTGTGCCTGTCTTGCTTCCTACCCCACTACCATTTCAGACACTCCGTTTTGCTCTCCCAGTGTATCGCACCACAGTGAAACAAAGAGTAGCTGCTGCTTGTTCTTGAAATACCCAATTTCTACAGTACCAAGGACCACCGTGGGGAAGAAAAAATTGAAGAACTAGATAGTTTATGCTAGAATGGAGGGTGAAAGGCCTTGTGGTGGAGTTGAATGATTCTCTGCATGGTGTACCCAAGGAGCTGTGATAGAGTGAGAGAGGTATTTATTCTTGAATATTTATCAGTAATCACAGAATAGTAAGATGGCTGTCATGTGAAAAGTAGACATTTTAGATAACATCCATAGCTGCCTACCTATTAATACTAGTACATAGTCAGCCACCTATAAATACTAGCACAGTAGTCCCTTAAGGAAAAAAGAAATAGAAAACAGAAATTTTCTGTTCAAGATCTGTAGCAAGACCTAAAGATTTTTTTTTTTCCTTGTCATCTAATATGGAAAAATACGTTTATCGTTTTTCTGTCAGCAAAAAATATTCCTCAGTTTCTGTATTGAGAAACTGTAAAATTAGCAACTTGTGGTATTACAAGAACTGAAATGTGATTGACTGATAATCAAGGGTAAGATTTTGTTGTCATGATTTCTTTTTTCCTAATTCTCATTGAAATCAAATAACAGCTGGGAGAAAACCTTCTCTGTAAAAGATTCAGTTGTGCACTCTAAAATAAATAATATATAAAAGTGTTGTGGTTTAAGCCCAGCCAGCAGCTAAGCACCATGCAGCCGCTTCCTCACTCCTCCCTGCTCCCAGTGGGACGGGAAGGAGAATCCAAAAAAAAAAGTAAAACTTGTGGGTTGAGATAAGAACGGTTTAATAACTAAAATATTATAACAATAATAATAAAATATACTAATCACAATAATTGTGAAACACAATCACAGTAATTGTGAATATATTAATCACAGTAATTGTGAAAAGGAATATAACAAAAAAAAAAAAAGTGAGAAATAAACCCAAGAAAGGACAAGTGATGCACAGTGCAATTGCTCACCACCTGCAGATCCATGCCTGAGCAGCGATCTGCACCCCCTGACCAACTCCCCCTGGTTTATATACTGAGCATGATCTCCTACGGTATGGAATACCCCTTTTGTTCGTTTGGGTCAGCTATCCTGGCCATGCTCCCTCCCGACTTCTTGTGCACCTGCTCACTGGCAGAGCATGGGAAACTGAAAAATCCTTAACTTAGGGTAAGCTCTGCTCAGCAACAACTAAAACATCAGCATGTTATCAACATTATTCTCACACTAAGTCCAAAACACAGCACTGCACCAGCTACTCGGAAGAAAATTAACTCTATCCCAGCTGAAACCCAGACAAAAAGATAAAGAAATATTACAAGGAAAAATAAAAGAAACCCCGAAAGACGTTTAAAACTACCACCCTAGATCTACATTGCAAAGGCATCCCACTGGACTGCATTTGCTACTGCTAATGCAGTCAGCAGCTGCGACAGTTCCAATCGTTAGTCTTCCTGTCATCTTTTCTTTGGCTATAGTAAAAACCACCTCCGCCTGGGTCAGGTCTCTGTGCCGACTACCCAGTGGTGGTTTTTGCCCCCATTAATTTTGTCAGTTTTCATTTAACATTAAAAGCTTCATTGCCTCCGTGTGTCAAACCTTCCAGCTGTGTAGCAGGAAAGTCTTCTAACTACCAAAAAAAGGGCAGACTACCTAAAACCATATTACATAGAAGGTTTTATCTCTTGCACAGCTGGGGAGGAGGGGCAGATATGATTTTTTCATGACACTAAGCAAGCACATTTTTTGGGGGTTTTTAAAGGTCACACTACTGACTTTCACATATACCTTCACACTGAAATTTCTCTGGGGATTCTCCATTTCTCCCTTCCATCTCTTTTTAGCTCCGCTCTCACTCCTGGCTGAGCCCCCAAAGCAGTGAGTGCAAAGGAGGTTCTACGCCAGCTCAAGGACAGCCAAGACAATCAGCATGGCAGATGGCTGCTCCACCAGCAGCACCCACCAGACAACTCTAAAAATACCTAGACGCCAATAATTTCCAAGAACAACATGGAAGCACTGAATAGCTAAGAAGCAAAGTACACAAGTCACACTACCTCTCTCCTTTTTGGGAAAAGATGCCTGCTTTGCAGTCCCTTTTCAATGCCAAAGAAGCAGCTTTCAATTTTCAGCTTTCTCCCGTTTCATCTTATCTTTCCCGTGGCCAGGTATTCTCGTAAGGACACATTGTGGGAACTCAGCACACTCCGGTTCTAGTCCTAGTTTTGCTAAATAGCTGAGCCTCATTTCCTATTACATGGGAATAATCATGCTTCCATATCTTAAAAATGAGGGGAGGTATGCAAATTGCATTGAAAAAAAGACAAAGTCTTATTAGAATTCTAGTCATTACATACTACTACCAATACAAACCTCCCCTCCTTCACAGATATGATGACAATAGTCATAAATAATAAAACTACATGCACTCTAAATATGCTGAATATACTTTACACAATTGCCAACAGAAAAAGTATTGAAAGGATGAATCATTCACGTATGCTCTTCTGGGTACAAAAGGAAACAAACAGCCCCCTTTCCTGAGGTACAGCATGAATGCATGCATGCACGCATCTATCTATCTATCTATCTATCTATCTATCTATCTATCTATCTATCTATCTATCTATCTATCTATCTATCTATCTATCTATCTATCTATCTATCTACCTACCTACCTACCTACCTACCTACCTACCTACCTACCTACCTACCTACCTACCTACCTATCTGTCAGGTTAAGGCTACATCCCAAGTCAATTGCTCACAGCCATGTGAGCAAACAGACATACACACTAACTCTCTACAAGTTAGCAAATAGTTTCAGCTGCTCATCTGGTTCTATCATGGGTGAGAGACACAAGCACTTGCAAACAGTGAATTTCGCTAGCTGCAAGCTAAGTTAGAATGATTTTTGTCCCCCTGAAGACACCCGTCTTCTTCCACAGCCTGAGGGCTGGATGACTTCTAAAAGTAATGCTCTTTTTCAGGACTAAGTTGTAGGGCTCGCTTTTTTTTTTTTTTTTTTTTTTTCCCCCAAAAAGCTCTGCTAGAGGGGGCAGTGGTATCCTTCACCTTTATAAAACAGCTTTGTTTCGCAGGCAGTGGGTGGGTGGGGGCTGACTGAGTTCCCCTCAGAGTTTGGGAGGACTCAGTCCCTGGTGCTGCAGCTCCAGGTTACCAGCTCCCTGCCCAGCACACCTCTGCCGCCAAGCCTCAGCTGTGAAACTCATACAACTAGCGTTACAGGAAGGAAGGTTGCTTGTCCCTAGCCATACTAGGGTTAGGGAAAATTCAGAATTTGAGCAATTTTTAGTTTCTCAACAAAAGCTCATTCTAGAAAATGTGTTAAAAATTACTTAGTACTAAAGATGCATGAAAGCAAACACATATGTGCTCTGGCACAGATAGTTGTTCAGTCTGTGCAGTTCTCTTGCCCACCCTGCCTGCTGTCTGGATTTCCATCATTCTGGCTGGGGGAAAAAAACACAAAAAAAAAGCGTTACCAAGTCACTACCACAATCAGTACCAAGAAATTTTAAGTTAATTCTTACAAGACATGCAACTTAGTCATCATTTGAATTGATAGACTTCAGTCTTCTGTTCCTACAAAACCAATTACCTCTCTCCTTTGACTAAACACTTCATCACAGTAAAAAGTCAGGTAATTGCTGAGAAAAACAAAATAAATCTAATGGCTCATCTTTATTACACTACCAATATCCTTTTTTTAGCTCTCCATTTTAACACTAGTCTCATCACTGTGATACAGATTTTGAAGTCTATATAGGGTTTGATCTGCTAGGGTGCCTCTACCTTTTACAAAAACAAATTTTACAACTTCATACCAGTTTGCACATGAATGAAGAAACATGCACATTAATAAAATGAAATAAATTAAAAATAATCCATCCCAGTAAGCATTTATATAAGAAAGTACATTTATTCCTGCAGTATAAAATGGGAATCCAAATTCAAAGGCTGTCAGTACAAAAGTAATGACATTAAGAAAAAACAAACATACCCTACATTATTTGCTATAATAATTAAAAATAAGTCATAAAAAATGTTTATTAGAACATTAAATTTGGTAGTGCTTCACACACTGGTTCCTAGCAACTACAACCTCTTGGCCAAACATGTAAAATGCTCTATTTCAAGCAGTAGTAAGTGATTTTTCAGTATACTTAATGCAAATGTTACTTTCAACCACATTAAAAAAAAAAAAAAAGTCAAATAAGGAAACATGAAAATTATACACCTGCTATTAACAGAAGTCACAGAAAAAATACTGTCATGATAAAAAGACTCAGAGAAATTGGGTGGAAATATTGCCTGGTTATCCCACTGGTTTATAAATCAATCATAATTTAGGTGCTGATAGAATTAGAGCTCTCGTGTCTGTCTGGATGGTTATTTGTGCCTTGGCAAACCTTATCTTTTAGAGATATTGCCAACATTGTTTTTAAATCTGCAGATGATTGTGTTGTTTGATCTTCTATCTCATTCCATGTTTCTCTGGAGATGTTTCTCAGTATTTCAACTGTTCTGTGGTCAAAGCAAATTTTGCTGGATCTGATAAGTACAGATTCTGCATGGCATTCAATATGTCCCTGCACCAGTGGCTTGAGGAGAGAGGCTAGATGAATATTCAGGTCACAATGCTGAATGCTGCAAACTAAAATTGCTGGAAGCCTTCCTGGAAGTGCATTAGAATTTGTGACTCTTCTGTTGAAATGACATGTGTTGCTCTCATGAGTCTGTCACTGAACAAGGACCGGCACAGAATACAGAAATTGTTTAAGTAATGATTAAGAACTAGTCAGGAATAAAAATGTCTGTCCTGCAATACATTGTACAGATTCCAAAACTGTTTAAAAATGAAATAGAAAAGATAATGCGCAGTTCTCTATAAAACAAATGTATTCGTGTGTACACGCACATAGGCTAGAGATGGAGAAGGTATTCCAAATAAAAAACAAGTCAGTCGGATTAATCAAAACCCACCTTTGCTGGATGTCCAATACCAGTGTCCCATGGTCTGGCTTTGAAAGGTTAATAGAACAGTGATATTTAAAATAAAGTATTTCCACCTTCATTTTTAAATGAAAATTACCTTGTGTTTAAATTTGTTGGAATTCTTGTTTTCTTTCTTGTTGAGATCGATGAAGTAATGAGTAATGCGGTCCTTGGACTTAGAATCCATGTCCCAAGAAATCTTGAAGGAATCACATGTGATGTTACTTATTTTGATGTTATGTGGGACGGGAAGTTCCTCCATCTCTGCAATCCCACTATCTTGTGATTTATTCCCTGCATAAAAAAATAAGCATGATTCATTCTGTTAAAAACCTATAAGACATCTGTTTTCTCTGCTCCAATACAATCACATCTCTCAAAAGCCTTTCACAAAGTCTCATAAGTGGTACTCAGAAGCCACTATGAGGTACAAATATTCAATTCTCAGTATTGGTGATAGGAAATATTGGAAATGGATGAAATTCCTCACTTGAATAAGCGCTCATAACATGTAAGCAGATTGCATAGACTGGCTAGTAACACAACTGCCTGAGAACAAGAAGAAACATCAGAAGCTATCTGGTGCTACAATGTTTAGTTAAGATGCCAGATGCCAGAAACGTGTGTGTTAACACAATGGCCCTATCCATACCTATCAGTGAAATAAATACAAATAGAAATCATATTCAACCTAAACCTATTTTTCAAGCACAAATTAAAGACAATCTCTTCAAGATTTATACATGGTATATGTATATAAACATATGTATACACATATATATAATACTGTCTCCTTCACAGTGAAACAATTAACAGTGATCCCTTTGTTGAGCCACAGTAAAAGGGCTCAATACTAATTTAATTTTCTGGTCTTTATTCTCTCTATTCTATTTGCCCAGCTGAGACCTTGCAGTTTTCTTGAGAAGTTTTTTCTAATTTCTCTATGTGCATATGGTAGATGAACAAATTACCATCGACCCCCAAAAGCATGACAAGTTCTAAAGCGAGGTCTTCCCTTAGTTCCCAATGTAACCTTGTTGTAGAGCATTCTATGAACAAAAACATTAGGTGATCTTGCACTACATAAGACACAAGTGAAAAGTGAACAAGCAACAAAAAAAAGCAGAGAGGTAAGAGAAATCAGTGGGCAAAAAGGAAAAAATAGACGAGATGATGATGTAAGAGTAGGAGTAAAGAAAGGGAGTGTACAAAAAATAAAAATCATAGAGAGATAAGAATAGAAAGAAACAAAGGCGAAAAACAAGGCTAATGTCTATGTAAGAAAGAGAGGAAAGCGCCCAAATTCTGTTCAGATGAGGAAAATAAGAAGCCCATGCAGAGATGTGAGGGAACATATTGTCAGAGTTATTTCTAGTCACATCTAATTATAGAAAAATATAGTACTTATACTTCCATCAAAAACTGGACACAGAAGGTGAGTCTAGTCAGTAATAATAATGCTAAGAATATGACTTGGTAAACATTAGGGACATTTCAACCTCTCAGCGTACATTGTCAAAGAATTATACCAGCACCAGTACCTCAATGCGGGAATATTAAGATTGGGTTGATTGTTCCAAATTCTCTTAATGGATATATGAAATTCAATCATGGAGTCTGTGAAATCCATAGATTTCCAGCTAGTATTCTGAATAAAATAATTTTACTGATGATTTCAGAAACCAATAGTAATACTTTTCTATTTTGTTCCATTTTATGCATTTACATCCAACAGGTTGTCCATTCTTCAAGCATCCTATTGCTTTTTTGCCTTTTTAACTAATATTAGTCAGGTGGTGCATGGTCTTGCTCAAAATCCTGCCCTATTTGTGCCATCCACAATGACATTTTCAACAGCTGCACTGGCTGCAGAAATACCAGTCATCACTGAAAGCTTTCTGTTCATATGAAACACAGGGTAAGTGCTTTTCCCAACATGCGATTTCAGGAAGTCAGCAGGGAGAAAATGGCATTGCTTTCTTTTGTGAGAATTTTTTATTTGAAAAATGACTGAATGCTCTACCTGGCTCACTGAAAAGCTACATATGATTGCTCATCCATGAGTGAGGCTCTGTGTTTAAGCAGAAGATGGAGTGATGCTGCTGAGGTTCTCAGGTCTCCTGTAGATCTGGACTCAGATCCCAGCACACAGAATAACTGAATAAAGACCTGAACAGACATGCAGTCAGGAAATCCAAGACATATCTATCCACAGTATGTTAACTTGCAACAACTTTGCTTCAAAAGTGAGCTTCTATACTCCACTCCTAAGAGCCTCAGCCATGTTACAAACAGCCAAGGCAGTTTAAGCCTCAGGAGACATGCGCAATAATGACAAAAAGTAACAGAGATGAAAAAAGATTTTGGAGCACACTGATGACAGTCAAAGAGCAAAAGTGCTTCTGTAAATGGGTATTGCTTTCTGTCCAGATCTTGGAATTAATGTCTGGCACACATCTTTAGATGTCTGCTCTCCTGATCCTTTTAATTTCTTTGCTTAATAAGTGAATAAATAGTTCAAGTAAATGTCTAGCAGAAAATCTCCAGGTAATTTTTAGCAACATTTTAATATAAGTCTGAAAAAAGAAACCACTTGTATTACTAAATGCTAAGCTAGCCTCTTTTTGTGATGGAACAAAATCCAAAATCTTAAGGCTGAAATCTTTAAAGCTCTCTGAAAGAGGAAAAAAATAATTTTACAGATTTTGAAATATAAACAGAGTATGAAATAAGAAAGTAAAATATCTCACAGTCATCACCAGAAAGCAATATTCCATTTTACCCACTCCAATTTGCCTTCTATTAAGAACATGAAATATCAGTGATATTTGTAACGCATACTTATATTTTGATACATATATGCATAGTCCTGAATGTCAAATTCCATTGAGTTGAGAGGCAGTAATAGGAACCTGATAATAATACATAGTATTAATAAGCATGATGATGATTCAGTGAGTATTGTTAAAATGGTGTCTTCTGAATAGTGTTGTGCCATTGCATGGGAACAAGGAAAAAAAGGACAGAGCAAGAAAAGCATGGTTCTTGCTCTCTTAAATTTGGCTGATCCTAGGAATCAAACATGCAGGTGATGAGCTTTGCCCACACAGTAGACACCCTAGCACTAAGAAATTTTGAAGAAGCATTCTCTTGTAAACCGTAAGTTCTAACTCAGAATCTGGGTCCTGCAAAAAATAGTGCTTTTCAATGTTAGGAACAGCATTCTATCCTGAGACATACTGGAATATGACATAAAAATGTGAGATGCAGTGCTTGACATCACTGCACCGTAGTTAACTAGAAACACATGAAGATGACAGGATAGCACAGAAGCAAAGAATAATATCGCATCCAGTCGGGCAATGTACGTACACCACTTGTAACAACTACATAATGTGGAATATTTCCATTAGAGTTTATCAATATCAAAAAAGCATTACAATGGCTATAAAATATATAATTATAAGACAAAATAATAAAATGGGCAGAACTTTCAATAGCAGAAAGATAACTGAGCTAAACTTGTAAGTCAGGTGTTTAAGAAAATACTATCTGCTGTTAAAGTGGGGGTCTGATAATAATTGTCAACCAAACCACTTAAAAATACGGGCTGCTACAAAAGACTGCTTAGCAGCCTTCCTGCTACTGGAGACTTCAAGTGTGTGGTAAGTGAACTACAGGTGTCATGGAGATCAAAAACTGACAGATATAACTGACTAAAAAAGTAACACATTTGCCTTTTTTCCACTTGTGCTTTGGTGAATATTTTTGAATTGGTTTTCATACTGGAAAGCATGTCCACTTCAAGCCACTTCTTTATAGCAGGATCAATTTAAAGAATAGATCAACATCAGGAAATTGGATGTCTACTAAAAGCAGAAATGGAAGCTGAACTTACTCAAACCCAGCATATAGTTGCCCTAAAGCACTCCAAAACTCCAGCTGAAAGGAAGTTACTACATGGATGTGAAAATAGGTGGAGAAGGCATTAGAACTGGCTGCTTTCATGTTAGTCGCTTTGCCACTTCAGAGGCTAAATTGATCTGTCTTTGATGAAGCATCACAATGCAGACAAAAATTGAAAATGAAAGTATCATAGGAAATGTTGCTCTGAACAGCTTCATATCAAATTAAAATAGATCAGCTTCCCATTAAAATGGATACATCATTTTGCACATTCATGTTGCTTCAACACCAGAAGCCACTGTGGGACTGGATAGAAACACTGCTTTCAGGTCTCCTGGGCAGAAACTTATAGAAGAGCTAGTAGTCAAACAAAGCTGGTCTTTCCTGACAAAAAAACTAAGCATGTCATCCCTGTGTGCTGCAGAAACCTGTTTCAACAACAACAACAAAAAAAACAGTTCACTTTTAGAACACACAAAAGGGCCCAGTGATTCTCGACGTGTATAATAAAAAGGCAAAGACCACGTGTGTGTGCATAGGTTACACTGGAAGCATAAGACTTTAAATTTCTTCAAAGCCAAGGAATAAATACAATATACTAGCTATACTGAGATCAGCCGGAGAACTGCATGATTAATGTTTTATGATTCTATTCAGAAGCTTATCTCTCTCTGCCATATCCAGAGTTAAATTTCAAGTTAAATTGTCTAATCAATTTTGAAGTAGTTATGATACTCACTGCTGCAGCTGAGCCAAAATGCCAGCAAATGGGTAACAAAACAATTTTATTTATATACACACAGACACACTTAATTTAGTATCCTCATTATATCTTCTACTTACATAAATTATCTCTGAATGGGAAAAAAAAGGCAGAAAATTCCCATTGAACATTCATGGCTTTCATCTGTCACTATTGGAGACAAATGATAAGACTTGGGAATTGATAAGTCCACACTAAAAAGATTTGGAAATGGATTTTTTTTTTTTTTTTTAATTTGCCTCGTTGCTCGAAACAAGCTGAACCATCACATCTGCAGCCATGCAAGGATGGTGGAAAAGAACCTTAACAGAACCTTTGATTGGTAGTTACTGAGCATTCACAATCACTGGATTTTTATAATTGTAGAATACTTGATCTTTTTTTTTTCATTAGTTCTAAAAATGCAGAACTCCACAGCAGGGCAAGGGAGTACATGATTTTTCTTTTCACAGACAAACTGTTTATGTTATCCACAGAAGAAATTCTGAAAGGGCTAATTTGTAATCCAACCTCTAAGCATACTTTCAGCTCACAGAAGAGAGTTTTATGAAACTGGACCAATAAAATATTTCTGGGTACCTGTAATCTTGCTCATAGAAGTTTTGACGCTGATGATATCTTGGCA